GTGGGGACCCCACCATTCCCTCCTGGGGACAATTTAGGGCTGTAGGGACCCCAAAATCCCTCTTGATATCCCCAAAGGTGGGTTGAGGACCCCAGAATTCCCTCCTGGGGACAACGGGAAAGGGGGGGGACCCCAAAATTCCCTTCTGGGGACAATGGGGGGGTGGAGACACCAAAATCCCCCCGATGTCTCCTAAGAGGGGCTGAGGACCCCAAAATTCCTGCCTTGGGGACAATGGGAAAGTGGGGACCCCAAAATTCCCTCCTGGGGACAGTGGGGGGGATTTGCGACCCCAAAATTCCCCTCAGGACACAAAAGGGGATGGGGACCCCAAAATTCCCTCTTGGGGACACTGAGGGAGAGGAGGACACAAAAATTCCCTCCTGGGGACAATTTAGGGCTCTAGGGACCCCAAAATCCCCCCGATGTTTCCTAAGAGGGGCTGAGGACCCCAAAATTCCTGCCTTGGGGACAAAGGGAAAGTGGGGACCCCAAAATTCCCTGTTGGGGACAATTTAGGGCTGTAAGGACCCCAAAATCCCTCCCGATGTCCTGAAACAGGGAGTGGGGACCCCAAAATTCCCTCTTGGGGACAATGGGGAGTGAGAAGCCTAAAACTCCCTCTTGGGGACAATTTGTGGCTGCGGTGTCCCCAAAATCCCTCGTGATGTCCCCAAAGGGGGAGGGAGGACCCCAAAATTCCCGTCTTGGGAGCAATGGGAAAGGGGGGGACCCCAAAATTCCCTCCTGGGGACACTGAGGGAGAGGAGGATACCAAAACTCCCTGTTGGGGACAATTTAGGGCTGTAGGGACCCCGAAATCCCTCCCGATGTCCCCAAAGAGGGAGGGAGGACCCCAAAATTCCCGTCTTTGGGACAATGGGAAATAGGGACCCCAAAACTCCCTCCTGGAGACACTGAGGAAGTGGGGAGCCCAGAACTCCCTGTTGGGGACATTTTGTGGCTGCGGTGTCCCCCAAAATCCACACGATGTACCCAAAGAGGAGGTGAGGACCCCAAAATTCCATCCTGGGGACAATTTGTGGCTGTGGTGTCCCGAAAAATCCCTCTCGATATCCCCAAAGAGGGGGTGAGGACCCCGAAATTCCCGTCTTGGAGACAATGGGAAACTGGGGACCCCAAAATTCCATCCTGGGGACACTGAGGGAGTGGGGACCCCAAATCTCCCTGTTGGGGACAGTTTGTGGCTGCGGTGTCCCCAAAATCCCTCTCGATATCCCCAAAGGGAGAGGGAGGACCCCAAAATTCCCGTCTTGGGGACAATGGGAAATAGGGACCCCAAAACTCCCTCCTGGGGACACTGAGGGAGTGGGGAGCCCAGAACTCCCTGTTGGGGACAGTTTGTGGTTGCGGTGTCCCCAAAATCCACACGATGTCCCCAAAGAAGAGGTGAGGACCCCAAAATTCCATCCTGGGGACAGTTTGTGGCTGCGGTGTCCCCAAAATCCCTCTCGATATCCCCAAAGAGGGGGTGAGGACCCCAAAATTCCCTCCTTGGGGACAATGGGAAATAGGGACCCCCAAAACTCCCTCCTGGGGACACTGAGGGAGTGGGGACCCCAAATCTCCCTGTTGGGGACAGTTTGTGGCTGCGGTGTCCCCAAAATCCACACGATGTCCCCAAAGAAGAGGTGAGGACCCCAGAATTCCTGCCCTGGGGGCAATGGGAAACTGGGCACCCCAAAATTCCATCCTGGGGACACTGAGGGAGTGGGGAGCCCAAATCTCCCTGTTGGGAACAGTTTGTGGCTGCGGTGTCCCCAAAATCCCTCTCGATATCCCCAAAGGGAGAGGGAGGACCCCAAAATTCCCTCTTGGGGACACTGAGGGAGTGGGGACCCCAAATCTCCCTCTTGGGGACAGTTTGTGGCTGCGGTGTCCCCAAAATCCCTCGTGATGTCCCCAAAGAGGGGGTGAGGACCCCAAAATTCCCGTCTTGGGGGCAATGGGAAAGTGGGGACCCCAAAATTCCCTCCTGGGGACACTGAGGGAGAGGAGGACACCAAAACTCCCTGTTGGGGACAATTTAGGGCTGTAGGGACCCCGAAATCCCTCCCGATGTCCCCAAAGAGGGAGAGAGGACCCCAAAATTCCCGTCTTGGGGACAATGGGAAATAGGGACCCCAAAACTCCCTCCTGGAGACACTGAGGAAGTGGGGAGCCCAGAACTCCCTGTTGGGGACATTTTGTGGCTGCGGTGTCCCCCAAATCCCCCCGATGTCCCCAAAGAGGAGGTGAGGACCCCAAAATTCCATCCTGGGGACAGTTTGTGGCTCTGGTGTCCCCAAAATCCCTCTCGATATCCCCAAAGGGAGAGGGAGGACCCCAAAATTCCCTCTTGGGGACAATGGGAAAGGGGGGACCACAAAATTCCCTCCTGGGGACACTGAGGGAGAGGAGGATACCAAAACTCCCTGTTGGGGACAATTTAGGGCTGTAGGGACCCCGAAATCCCTCCCGATGTCCCCAAAGAGGGAGGGAGGACCCCAAAATTCCCTCTTGGGGACACTGAGGGAGTGGGGACCCCAAAACTCCCTGTTGGGGACAGTTTGTGGCTGCGGTGTCCCCAAAATCCACACGATGTCCCCAAAGAAGAGGTGAGGACCCCAAAATTCCATCCTGGGGACAATTTGTGGCTGCGGTGTCCCCAAAATCCCTCTCGATATCCCCAAAGAGGGGGTGAGGACCCCAGAATTCCTGCCTTGGGGACAATGGGAAAGTGGGGACCCCAAAATTCCATCCTGGGGACACTGAGGGAGTGGGGACCCCAAATCTCCCTGTTGGGGACAGTTTGTGGCTGCGGTGTCCCCAAAATCCACACGATGTCCCCAAAGAAGAGGTGAGGACCCCAGAATTCCTGCCCTGGGGGCAATGGGAAACTGGGCACCCCAAAATTCCATCCTGGGGACACTGAGGGAGTTGAGAACCCAAAACTCCCTCTTGAGGACAATTTGTGGCTGCAGTGTCCCCCAAAACCCACACGATGTCCCCAAAGAGGAGGTGAGGACCCCAAAATTCCATCCTGGGGACAGTTTGTGGCTGCGGTGTCCCCAAAATCCCTCTCGATATCCCCAAAGAGGAGGTGAGGACCCCAAAATTCCGGCGTTGGGGACAATGGGAAAGTGGGGACCCCAAAATTCCATCCTGGGGACACTGAGGGAGTGGGGAGCCCAAATCTCCCTGTTGGGGACAGTTTGTGGCTGCGGTGTCCCCAAAATCCCTCTCGATATCCCCAAAGGGAGAGGGAGGACCCCAAAATTCCCTCTTGGGGACACTGAGGGAGTGGGGACCCCAAATCTCCCTCTTGGGGACAGTTTGTGGCTGCGGTGTCCCCAAAATCCCTCGTGATGTCCCCAAAGAGGGGGTGAGGACCCCAAAATTCCCGTCTTGGGGGCAATGGGAAAGTGGGGACCCCAAAATTCCCTCCTGGGGACACTGAGGGAGAGGAGGACACCAAAACTCCCTGTTGGGGACAATTTAGGGCTGTAGGGACCCCGAAATCCCTCCCGATGTCCCCAAAGAGGGAGAGAGGACCCCAAAATTCCCGTCTTGGGGACAATGGGAAATAGGGACCCCAAAACTCCCTCCTGGAGACACTGAGGAAGTGGGGAGCCCAGAACTCCCTGTTGGGGACATTTTGTGGCTGCGGTGTCCCCCAAATCCCCCCGATGTCCCCAAAGAGGAGGTGAGGACCCCAAAATTCCATCCTGGGGACAGTTTGTGGCTCTGGTGTCCCCAAAATCCCTCTCGATATCCCCAAAGGGAGAGGGAGGACCCCAAAATTCCCTCTTGGGGACAATGGGAAAGGGGGGACCACAAAATTCCCTCCTGGGGACACTGAGGGAGAGGAGGATACCAAAACTCCCTGTTGGGGACAATTTAGGGCTGTAGGGACCCCGAAATCCCTCCCGATGTCCCCAAAGAGGGAGGGAGGACCCCAAAATTCCCTCTTGGGGACACTGAGGGAGTGGGGACCCCAAAACTCCCTGTTGGGGACAGTTTGTGGCTGCGGTGTCCCCAAAATCCACACGATGTCCCCAAAGAAGAGGTGAGGACCCCAAAATTCCATCCTGGGGACAATTTGTGGCTGCGGTGTCCCCAAAATCCCTCTCGATATCCCCAAAGAGGGGGTGAGGACCCCAGAATTCCTGCCTTGGGGACAATGGGAAAGTGGGGACCCCAAAATTCCATCCTGGGGACACTGAGGGAGTGGGGACCCCAAATCTCCCTGTTGGGGACAGTTTGTGGCTGCGGTGTCCCCAAAATCCACACGATGTCCCCAAAGAAGAGGTGAGGACCCCAGAATTCCTGCCCTGGGGGCAATGGGAAACTGGGCACCCCAAAATTCCATCCTGGGGACACTGAGGGAGTTGGGAACCCAAAACTCCCTCTTGAGGACAATTTGTGGCTGCAGTGTCCCCCAAAACCCACACGATGTCCCCAAAGAGGAGGTGAGGACCCCAAAATTCCATCCTGGGGACAGTTTGTGGCTGCGGTGTCCCCAAAATCCCTCTCGATATCCCCAAAGAGGAGGTGAGGACCCCAAAATTCCGGCGTTGGGGACAATGGGAAAGTGGGGACCCCAAAATTCCATCCTGGGGACACTGAGGGAGTGGGGAGCCCAAATCTCCCTGTTGGGGACAGTTTGTGGCTGCGGTGTCCCCAAAATCCCTCTCGATATCCCCAAAGGGAGAGGGAGGACCCCAAAATTCCATCCTGGGGACACTGAGGGAGTGGGGACCCCAAATCTCCCTGTTGGGGACAGTTTGTGGCTGCGGTGTCCCCAAAATCCCCGCGATGTCCCCAAGGTGGGTGGGGGGGGGAGGTGGCGCCTCAGCCCCGCCCCTCCCCCACCCCCGGGGCCGGGTCCCTTTAAGGGGGCGGAGCCTTGGAGGGGGGAGGGGGGGGAAAATCCCGGGATTTTTTTTTCTTTTTTTTGGGAAGCGGGGGGGGGATGCAGAGGGGTGGGGGAGGGGACGATGCTCCGCGTCTTCGTCCTGCGGGCCGAAAATGTCCTCACAGGCGACAGCGACATCAGCGACACCTACTGCTCCTCCACGTTCCAAGGTGCGGGAGAAAAACCCCAAAACCCCTCGGGATTCGGGGGGGATTTTGGGGGAAATTTCGGGGAGGTTCGGGCCACGCCCGGTTCGGTTCCTAAAAGTTGGGACGGGACTGGAAGAGCCGCGGGTCCCCCCCCGCCCCTTGTCCCCGTTGTCGCCGCCACCCCTTTGGTGTCCCCTCCCCGTTCCAGAGTGTGGAGCTCCAGAGGGGAAAATGTCGGGAATTTTGGGGAATTTTGGGGGGGATTTTGGCCTCCCTGAGGGTTGGGATGGGGCTGGAAGCGCCGCCGGTCCCCGCTGTCGTCGCTGTCGCCGTTGTCGCCGCCACCCCTTTGGTGTCCCCTCCCCGTTCCAGCGTGAAAAACTCCGGGGGGGGGGGGGGAAACATATGGGGATTTAGGGGAATTTTGGGGGTTTTTGGGATAAATCTGAGGGAATTTCGGCCCGAGAAGTTGGGACGGGGTTGGGAGAGCCGCGGGTGCTCGCTGTCCCCTCTGCGGTGTCGCCACCCCGCTGGTGGCACTTGGGGACCCCCCTAAAGCCACCCCCGGCGCCCGCCGCGGATATTTTGGGATTTTCCGTGCGCGGGGGGGGAGGGGACGATCCCAAATTTGGGAATTGTCCCTTCCCGGGGTCCCTTCCCGGGGTCCTTCCCCGCTGGGGACAGAAGTGACATTGAGGGGACAAAGGACGGAGTGACGTCACGGGTTGGTGGGGATCGTTGTTTTTGTTTTAATGGGAAAAAGCGGCTTTTTGGGATTTCCCGGGTGTTCCTGGAGCAGGGAGCGTTCCCGGTTTTCCCATGGAATTCTCCCGGTGTGGGTGTGGCATTCCCGGTGTCCTGCTCATCCCAGATTCCCAGATTTTGGGGTTTTGGTGTTCCCGGGATTGCGGCATTCCCAAATTCTGGGGCTGAGGCATCCTCAGGCCTTGTAGGATCCCAAAATTCCCAGGGATTTATTTCCCCTCCCTGAGGTTCCCAGCATTCCCAAATCCCACTCCTGGGGTATCCTTGGGCTTTCCAGAATTCCTGGATCTCGATGTTTTTATTTCCCATCCCTGGGAATTGTGGGATCCCCGAATTCCAGGGATTCATTTCCCCATCCCTGCAGTTCCCAGCATTCCCAAATCCTGTGCTGGGTCATCCTCAGGCCTTGGAGCATCCCTGAATCCCAGGGATTCATTCCCCATTTTTGGGGGTCCCAGCATTCCCAAATCCCAGTGCCAGGTTATCCCTGGGATCTCCAGAATTCCTGAATTTCCAATTATTAAATTCCCCATCCCTGGGAATTGCAGCATCTCCAAATCCCAGGGTTTTATTCCCCATCCCTGGAGTTTCCAGCATTCCCAAGTCCCAGGGTTTGGGGGATCCTTGGGCTTTCCAGCATTCCTGAATCCCAGGATTTTATTCCTGGTCCCTGGGGTTTCCAGCATTCCTGAATTCCCAAGGATTTCATTCCCCATCCCTGGGAATTGCAGCATTCCCAAATTCCTGTGCTGGGTCATCCTCAGGCCTTGGAGCATCCCTGAATCCCAGAGATTTCATTCCCCATCCCTGAGGTTCCTGGAATTCCCAAATTCTGGTGTTTGGGGGATCCTTGAGGTTCCCAGCATTCCCAAATCCCAATGCCAGGTTATCCCTGGCGTTTTGAGAATTCCTGGAATTTCCAGTGATTAAATTCCCCATCCCTGGGAATTGCAGCATCTCCAAATCCCAGGGATTTTTTTTCCCCCATCCCTGGAGTTCCCAGCATTCCCAAATCCCAGGGTTTGGGGGATCCTTGGGCTTTCCAGCATCCCTGAATTCCCAAGGATTTCATTCCCCATTTTTGGGGTTCCCAGCATTCCCAAATCCCAGTGCCAGGTTATCCCTGGGGTTTCCAGAATTCCTGGATCCCAATGTTTTGATTTCTCATCCCTGGGAACTGTGGGATCCCTGAATCCCAGGATTTTATTCCCCACGCCTGGGGTCCCCAACATTCCCAAATCCTGGGGTTTGGGCATCCCTGGGCTTTCCAGAATTCCTGAATTTCCAGTGATTAAATTCCAGAATTTCCAATGTTTAAATTCCCCATCCCTGGGAATTGCAGGATCCCCAGATCCCAGGATTTTATTCCCCATCCCTGGTGTTCCCAGCATTCCCAAACCCTGGCATTTGGATATCCCTGGGATTCCCAGCATTCCCAAATCCTGAGGTTTTGCGATCCTGGATGTTCCCAGCATTCCTGGCTCCCAAGGATTTCATTTCCCACCTCTGATTCCCTGGATCCCGTGATTGATTCCCCATCCCAGGGATTTGCAGATTCCCTGGATCCCGGTGCTGGGCTATCCTTGAAACTGGGAACATCCCTGAATCCCAGGGGTTCATTCCCCATTTTTGGTGTTCCCAGCATTCCCAAATCCCGGTGTTTGGCCATCCCTGGGAACTGCAGCCTCCCCGAATCCCGGGGAATTATTCTCCCCCCAATCCCAGCTCTCTTCCCACGATCCCGGTTTTTTTCCCAGCCCCTCCAGGGGCGTTCCCGAGCCGGGATGGGCCGGACCGGGAGAAGGGGGTGGGAATGGGATAAGGGAGAGCGGATCCCCGTCCCGGCTTTCCCGATCCCGGCTTTCCCCATCCCGGCTTTCCCGATCCCGGCTTTCCCGATCCCGGCCATGCTCCGCTGCCTGCTCCAAAGGGCTTCCCAACTTCCCAACCTGGAAAAGCGGGATAAGCAAAGCGATCCCGTGGCCAGCCTGACATTCCGAGGTGAGGGAATCCCGATTTTTATTTTTTGGGAAGGAAGGGAGGGTTTGGAATGTTTTTAGCTGCTTTGGAAGCAGCTCCCGGGAAAATCTGGGGGTCTGGGAAGCTCCTGTGAATCCCTGGAAAATCCTTTGCTTTGCAGCTTTTATCCCCCTGATCCCAAAGTTTTTAAATCCACGCTGGAACATCCCTGGGAATTCCATCCCTTGAAATCCTTGAATTCTGCACTGGGATGGATGTGAATGATCCCACATGGAGCAGGGATTATCCCATTCCCGAGGGATGGATTTCCTGGGAAAACGGAGCGGTTTGCGCTCCCAAAATTCCCTCTGGAGGACGGTGCTTCCCTGGCATTTTCCTGGAGTTCAAAAAAATGGGAAAAAAATTTCCAAAAATTTTAACAAAAATCGGGGAGAAGGACGAGCGGCTCCCGGTCCAGGTTTTCCATTTGCTGCTGATCCCATTCCCACCGGGATCCTGCTGGGGAATCCCGGGAGCTCCATCTTCAACCAAACCCCGATCCAGGGCAATTCCAGGGCTCTGAATCCCGGGAAAAATCAGGAACGAGATGAGAATGAATCTCTGGATGAGGAAAACCAGCGGGATGAGTTTTCCATATTCCCAGAGCCGGGAAGTTCGGCTCTTCCCCAGTCCCAAATTAGGGAAGGAGTCGCTGAATGGTGCGAAAAGAGCGGAAAACCGGGAATATTTGGAATATCCCGGAGTCTCCCGGGATCTGAGTCACCTCCATTGTTTGGCCTTTTCCTTTTCCTCTTCCCGCGGGGGTCCCTCCCTTGGGATGCGGCGGCATTCCAGGAGGGATGAGGGGGGCGTGGCTTCGGGAAGGCGGTGGGTGCATGCCCGGGATCGGGAATGTTGGATTTGAGGGAATCCCGGGATTCCCACCCGAGGCATTTGGGGGATCCTGGGGAAACCGAGGCACGATCCCGAGGTTTGGGAATGGAGTGTTTGGGATCTCCCCTGGCTCTTCCCACCCCGAATTCCCAATCCTTGGAAACCTTTGGATGCTCCTGGGGAAACTGAGGCACAGCAAGGAGGGGGTTCCATGGGATTTTCCAGCACATTTTCCAGCCTGGAAGGGTTGGGGATCCAAGTGGGATCCTGGATCCAATCTCTGCATTCCCAGCCCTGGGAAGAGGGAATGGGGCTGGATCCTGATCCTGGGGATTGTGGGAATTTCTGGAAGCTCAGCCCTACCTGGGAGGGGAGAATGGGATCCAATCCTCGTCCTGGGAATTTCTGGAAGCCCATCTCCACCTGGGATCAGGGATTGGGATCCAATCCTCATCCTGGGAATTTCTGGAAGCCCAGTTCCAGCTGGGAGGAGGGAAAGGGCCCTGATCCTGCTCCTGGGAATTGTGGGAATAATCACTGGAAGCTCAGCCCCAGCCTGGATCGGGGAATGGGATCTGCTCCTGGGAGTTGTGGGGATTTGTGGAAGTTCAGCACCAGCTGGGATCAGGGATTAGGATCCAATCCTGCTCCTGGGAATTTCTGGAGGTTCAGCTCCTGCTGGGATCAGGGAATGGAGCCTGATCCTGGTCCTGGGAATTCTGGGAATCCCTGGAAGCTCAGCCCCAGATGAGATCAGAGTTTAATTTTGGGATCCTGATCTTTGGGAAGCTCCCGATCCCTGGGAAGATCCCAATCCCGGTTTTTCTCCTTCCAGGTGTCAAGAAGAGGACAAAGGTCATCAAGAACAATGTGAATCCTGTCTGGAATGAGGTGAGAATTCCCAGTCCCTGGATTTATCCCTGTTCCCAGAAAATGATCCCAAGTCCAGGTGATTCCCTGGGGCTTCTGCCCCATGGGAAGTTTGGGATCATTCCCTTTCTGGTCTGGAATTCCAGGCAGAATTCCAACCTCTTCTCCTTCCATCAAAGTCTTATCCAGACTTGGCATGAATGTTTCAAGGAATTTCCATGGAATGGGAATTTTTTCAGCACCTTTTCCCTTCCAACTCCATTCTTATGCTCCCATGGGCCAAAATTCAAAATAAAAAGGGAATTTGGTGGGAAAACGGGCACAGATTTGGGACTGGAGCAGCTCCCGGGATTTGCTCCTTCCCAGTAATCCATGGCTAAGGAAAACTTTTTCCCAAGGCAACCTTTCCTGGTGGATTTGCTGGGAAGCTTGGCTTTGGGAATGCTGTGATTCCGAGAGGGTTTGGGATTTGGGTTCTGCATTTCCAGACACTGATCCCGGCTCTCCCTCCTCTTTTTTTTCCCAGGGATTCGAGTGGGATCTGAAGGGAATCCCTCTGGATCCTGACGCCGAGCTCACCGTGGTGGTCAAGGACCATGAAACCGTGGGGAGAAACAGGTGGGAAAAATCCCAGAGCTGGACACGGCCCCTCCTCCCTTTTCCCATTCCCGGGATTCACCCGGCTCTTCCCGGGCTCCGCGGGTTCCCGCTGTGGGATGGCCGTGGGAGGCCGGAGCTGCATTTTTGGGCTGCCTCGCTCGGAATCCGGGGGAAATTCCTCCGGCGTTGGAAGGTCGGGAGTACACGGGGGGCGGTTGTTTGGGGAGGGACACTTCGGACACTTGGCCGGGATTTGGGAAGAGCTGCCAAGACCATTCCCAAGGCGCCGGCAGTGCCGGGAACGGCGACGGGAGCGGAGCCTCCGGTTTCCTTCCTCCGGCTGATCCCGGTGCCCCCCCCCACACATTCCAGGGGTTCCCTATGGATCGGGGGCTCCTGCTGGGTGAGGATGAAAGGGATTCCGGTGATTCCCGGCCTTTCCCAGCTCTGTGGGGTGGGAGAGCTGCTTGGAGGAGGGAAAAAAATAGAGGAAGGGATTTATTTTTAGGGGTAAGAGGTTGGGAATGCGGCCTGGGGAGGGAAGGATCCTGATTCCCGGGCTGGAGCCGAGGCTGGAATTGCTGCTGGGCTGAAATCCAAAGGGGCTGGAATTTGGGGCTGCTCCAACTGCTGGGTGCCCATAAATAGCCACGGGAAAATGGGAGGAGGGTCCTGGATCCTGGAGCAGGAAGATTCCGGCTGGCACCTCCCAGGCTGCTCCAAACCCCGTCCCAGCCTGGCCTTGGGCACTTCCAGGGATCCAGGGGCAGCCCCAGCAAATCTGGGAATTCCAGCCCAGGCAGGAATTCCTTGCCAAGATCCCAGCCCAATCTCCCCTTTCCCAGTGGGAGCCATTCCCTGGCTCCTGTCCCTGCAGGCCTTGTCCCCAGCCCCTCTCCAGCTCTCCTGGAGCCCCTGCAGGCACTCTGAGGATTCCCTGGAGTTTTCCCTTCTCCAGGGGAGCATTCCCAGCTCTCCCAGCCTGGCTCCATCTCCGTGGCCTCCTCTGGATTCCCATCCTTGTCTTTGGAATGGTTTGGATGCCCTTGGAGCAGCCCTGATCCCTCTCCCTGTTTCCCGCAGGTTTTTGGGAGAATCCCGGGTGCCGCTCCGGGATGTTCTGGGCACGCCCAGCCTGGCGGCCTCGTTCAACCTCCCCCTGCTGGACTCGCGCAAGGAGAGCACCGGGGTGAGTGCCCGGCTCCCAGTTTGGGGCCCGCTGGGGCTCCCAGTTTGGGACCAGTATGAGCCATGGTTTGGCCAGTTTGGGCTCCCAGTTTGGGGCCACCTCGGGCTCCCAGTTTGGGCCAGTATGAACCATGGCGTGACCAGTTTGGGCTCCCAGTTTGGGACCAGTATGAACCATGGCATGGCCAGGGAGGCCCCCAGTTTGGAACCAGTTTGGACTCCCAGTTTGGAACCAGTTTGGACTCCCAGTTTGGGACCAGCTGGGGCTCCCAGTTTGGGACCAGTTGGGGCTCCCAGTTTAGGACCAGTTGGGGCTCCCAGTTTGGGACCAGCTGGGGCTCCCAGTCAGGGGTCAGTATGAACCATGGTGTGGCCAGTTTGGGTTCCCAGTTTGGGACCAGCTGGGGCTCCCAGTTTGGGCCAGTACGAGCCATGGCATGGCCAGGGAGGCCCCCAGTTTGGAACCAGTTTGGGCTCCCAGTTTGGGACCAGTACAAGCAATAGCATGGCCAGGGAGGCCCCCAGTTTGGGGCCAGTTGGGGCTCCCAGTTTGGGACCAGTTGGGGTTCCCAGTTTGGGACCAGTCTGAGCAATGCCCCTCCCAGTGGCAGCTCCCAGTTTGATCCCAGTCAGAATCCCTTCCCTCCCAGTCTGATCCCAGTCTGAGCCACATCCCTCCCAGTCTGATCCCAGTTTGAATCCTGTCCCTCCCAGTATGGGTCCAGTCTGAATTCTTTCCCTCCCAGTTTGATCCCAGTTTGAGTCCTGTCCCTCCCAGTTGAACCTCCCAGTTCGAGACCAGTCTGAATCCCTTCCCTCCCAGTCTGGGACCAGTCTGAGCCTGTTCCTCCCAGTTTGATCCCAGTCCCTCCCACCTGAAGCTCCCAGTTTGATCCCAGTTCGAGTCCTGTCCCTCCCAATTTGAGACCAGTCTGAGTCCCGTCCCTCCCACTTTGAGCCCTGTCCCTCCCAGTTTGATCCCAGTTTGAGACCTGTCCCTCCCAGTTGAAACTCCCAGTTTGAGACCAGTCTGAATCCCTTCCGTCCCAGTTTGAGACTGGTCTGAATCCCTTCTGTCCCACTTTGAGCCCAGTTTGAGCCCTGTCCCCCTCAGTTTGATCCCAGTTTGAGTCCTGTCCCTCCCAGTTGAACCTCCCAGTTTAACACCAGTCTGAATCCCATCCCTCCCAGTTGAAGTTCCCAGTCTGATCCTTTCCCTCCCAGTCTGATCCCAGTTCTCCCATCCCAGCCTCTCTGACACTCATTCCCTGTTTTCCAGGCCTCCCTGTTCCTGCAGGTGTCCTACATCCCCCCTCCGGGCGCTATCCCGCTTTTCCCGCCTCCGGCCCCTCCGGAGCCGGCCCCGGCTGCAGTCGAGCTGGACACGGTCACGGGTAACCACAGCCCCTCCCCATCCCGGTTTTTGGAATCCAGACCCATTCCCAAATCCCACAATTCCCTTCTCCTGCCGGGCAGAGACGGCCGGGGAGGAGGACACGGAAGATCCGGAGGCCACGGGGGACACGGAGCCCTCGGCGTCCTCGGGAGCCCCGGGCTCGGAGCCGCCCTCACTCCCAAGGAAACCGTCTGGGAATCACATCCAGGGGGTGAAGAGGAGGAGGAGGAGCTCTCCCAAAAAGCCTCTATCCAACAAACCGCAGGATTTCCAGGTGGGATGAGCTGTTCCCATAAAATCCTGCAGGCTGTCCTGGTGATTCCTTGTCCTCCATCCCATGGGATGATCCTGGTGATTCCACATCCTCTATCCCATCCCATCCCATCCCATCGGGATTCCTTGTCCTCCATTCCATGGGATGATCCTGGTGATTCCCATTCTGGAATTCCCTGTCCTCCATCCCATCCCAGATCCTGGTGATTCCCTGTCCTCCAGTGCACAGGATGATCCTGGTGATTCTCATCCTGGTGATTCCTCATTCTCCATCCCGTGGGATGATCCCAGTGATTCCCTTTCTTCCATCCTATGGGATGATCCCAGTGATTCCCTGTCCTCTGTCCCATCCCAGATCCTGGTGATTCCCTGTCCTCCACCCCATGGAATGATCCTGGTCATTCCTTGTCCTCCATTCCATTGAATGATCCCAATGATTCCCTGTCCTCCATCCCATGGGATGATCCTGGTCATTCCTTGTCCTCCATCCCATCCCAGATCCTGGTGATTCCCTGTCCTCCAGTGCTCAGGATGATCCTGGTGATTCTCATCCTGGTGATTCCTCATTCTCCATCCCATGGGATGATCCCAGTGATTCTCTGTCTTCCACTCTGTGGGATGATCCCAGTGATTCCATCCTCCATCCCGTGGGATTATCCTGGTGATTCCCTGTTCTCCATCCCATGGGGTGGTACTGGTGATTCCCATCCTGGTGATTCCCTGTCCTCCATCCCGTGGGATGATCCCAATGATTCCCTGTCCTCCATCCCATCCCAGATCCCAGTGATTCCCTGTCCTCCATCCATGGGATGATCCTGGTGATTCCTTGTCCTCCACCACATCCCAGATCCTGGCGATTCCCTGTCCTCCATCCCATGGGATGATCCCGCTGATTCCGTATCCTCCATCCCATCCCAGATCCGGGTGAGGGTCATCGAGGCCCGGCAGCTTCCCGGGATCCAGATCCGGCCGGTGGTGAAGGTGACGGTGGCTGGACAGACCCGGAGAACGCGGATCCGGAAAGGGAACAGCCCCTTCTTCGATGAGGTCAGCGGGAATTCCCACTCCAACGATTCCCGGGAGAGGCCGGGATGTGGGAATGCACTCTGGGGGGAAAACTGGGACAATGCCTCATCCTCATCCTGGTTTTCCACAGACTTTTTTCTTCAACGTCTTCGAGTCCCCATCGGAGCTGTTCGATGCTCCCATTTTCCTCACGGTGAGTGTTGGGAAATCCTGGAATTCTCCCCTTCCCAGGGAAACCCACCCTGGTTCCCGGGATCCTCCATCCTGGCAGGATTTGGGCTGGATCACCCATTTTCCCTCATTTTCAGGTCGTGGATTCTCGGTCGTTCCGCACGGATTCGGTGATCGGGGAATTCCGGGTAAGATCCCATCCCCTTTTCCCGCCGTCTCCTGCTCTGGATGAACTCTGGAATCTCCTTTTCCTTTAATCCCGCAGATGGATGTGGAGACCATTTACTCCGAGCCAAGTGAGCCTTGGGAAATTCCTTTGGGAATTTTTTTTGGGAAATGCGCCTGCACATCCCAGCTCTTCCATAGAGGAACCCTGCATCCATGGCCATGGAATCCCAGAATGGTTTGGGTGGGAAGGGACCTTAAGGATCATCCCGTTCCATCCAGGGGAAAACTCCACCATCCCAGGTGGATCCAAGTCCATCCAACCTGGCCTTGGATGCTTCCAGGGATATGGAGCATCCACAGCTTCCTTGGGAATTCTGTACCAAAGACCCCTCCCTCTTCCCTGGTTCCTTCCTGGGAAAGGAACTGAAATATTCCCTTATCCCATTCCATGGTTTTCATTTAGACCCCACCCAGGAGCATCCCATGCCTCCCTGCACATCCAAGGAGTAATTCCCAGTTTTCCACGTTTTCCCGCAGAACACGCTTTCCGCAGGAAGTGGCTGCTCCTCTCGGATCCGGAGGATTTTTCCGCGGGAGCCAAGGGCTACCTGAAGGTCAGCGCCTGCGTGCTGGGGCCTGGAGACGAAGCTCCCGTGAGTATTCCTGCTGGGAATGGGGGAACATTCCAGCCCTGGGATATTCCAGGCCTGGGATATTCTGGCCAAGAGCCACCAGCCTCCATGGCCATTCCCAGGCAAGCCACAGCTTGGATTTTCCTCCGTTTTGGGGGAAAAGTGCTGCATTTTATCATGGAATCCTGGAATGGTTTGGGTTGGGGAGGATCTTAAATCCTGTTCAATTCCCACCCAGGGACAGCTCCCACCGTCCCTGGTGGATCCAAGCCCCAGTGTCCAACCCGGCCTTGGGCACTGCCAGGGATCCAGGGGCAGCCCCAGCTGCTCTGGGAATTCCAGCCCAGGCAGGAATTCCTTGCCAAGATCCCAGCCCAATCTCCCCTTTCCCAATGGGAGCCATTCCCTGGCTCCTGTCCCTGCAGGCCTTGTCCCCAGCCCCTCTCCAGCTCTCCTGGAGCCCCTCCAGGGACTCTCAGGATTCCCTGGAATTTTCCCTTCTCCGGGGGAACATTCCCAGCTCTCCTAGAGCAGAAGCACTCCAGAATCCTGGAATGGTTCCTGTTTGGAGGAGACCTTAGATCCCACCCTTTCCATGAGCAGGGGCACCTCCCACTATCCCAGGTTGCTCCAAGCCCCATTGATCCTCACCCTGGACACTCCCAGGGCTGGAGCATCCGCCCAGCCTCTCTCTCTTTTGGGATTTTCCTGCTCATTCCCAAATCCGGGGTGACTTTTCCCGTTGTCCTGTTCCCACAGCTGGAGAAGAAGGAGGTGTCTGAGGACAAGGAGGACATCGAGGCCAACCTGCTGCGCCCCACCGGGGTCACCCTCAGGGGCGCCCAGTTCTGCCTCAAGATCTTCAAAGCCGAGGACTTGCCCCAGAGTAGGTTTTTCCCTCTGGATCCCTCGGGATCGCGACATTCCAGGCGGGAATTAGGGCCTGGAAGAAGGGAATGATCCACATTGTAAGCCAAGGATGTCGGGCAGTTTTATGGGAGAGGAGTTTCTTACTGGTCCAAACTGGTTTTATCCCCCCCTGCTTTTCCCGCCTGGAGAGCGTCTCCTCCATGGGAATGCTCATCCCGCCGGTGGGACGGCTGGGACCCTCTGGATGCTGCGGAATTCCACGGATTTTGGCATCTCCCTCTTTTCCCAGTGGATGACGCTGTCATGGACAATGTCCGGCAGATCTTTGGCTTCGAGAGCAACAAGAAGAACCTGGTGGATCCCTTCGTGGAAGTCAGCTTTGCCGGGAAAACGGTCAGCGGAGCGGGATCCTGGGAATGGCAGCGGGAGGAACCTGGGATTGGGATGGCAGCGGGGTGTTCCTGGAGCTGGGATAACAGTGGGATGATCCTGGGACTGGGAATGGTACTGGGATGATCCTGGGATTGGGAATGGTACCGGGATGATCCTGGGATTGGGATCGCAGCAGGGTGATCTTGGGATTGGGAAGGGTACTGGGATGATCCTGGGATTGGGAATGGCAGCGGGATGATTCTGGGATTGGGAATGGTACCAGGATGATCCTGGGATTGGGATGGCAGCGGGATGACCTCTCATGGTCCTCAGGGTTGGGATGGCAGCGGGACATTCCCTCCCAGGTCTGTGGGATTGGGATGGTGTCGGGATGTCCTTGGAGCTGGAATGGCAATGGGACATTCCCTCTGGATCCCTGGGATTGGGATTTCTGTGGGATGTCCTTGGAGCTGGAATGGCAGTGGGACATTCCCTCCCAGGTCTTTGGGATTGGGATGGCATCAGGATGTCCTTGGGGTTGGGATGGCAGTGGGACATTCCCTCTGAATCCCTGGGACTGGAATTTCAGTGGGATGTCCTTGGAGCTGGGATGGCAGCGGGACATTCCCTCTGGATCCCCAAGCCTGGTCCTTGAATGAGGAAATTTGGTCTTTGAATCTGGAGGAATTTGGTCCTGGATGAGGGAATTCGGTCCTGGAATTGTGGGAATTTGGCCTTGGAATGGGGCAAATGTGATCCTGCTGGTCCCAAGGTGGGAAGATCTGAAACATCCTCTGCCTCCTGCACCAGGGGATTTAGGAACCCCATGGAATGGGGGACGGATTTTTGGGAATCTGAGGCTGGATTTTGTGGAATCTGAGGCTGGATTTGGGGGAATCCAAGGCAAAATTTTAGGGAATCTGAGGCAGAATTTTAGGGAATCTAAAGCTGGATTTTGAGGAGCCTGAGTGTGGATTTTAGGGAATTTGGGGCCAGATTTTAGGGAAACTGAAGCTGGATTTTAGGGAATTTGAGGCTGGATTTTGAGAAGCCTGAGGCTGGATTTCAGGAACCCGAAGCTGGATTTGGAGGAATGTGAACCTCAACTTTTGGGAATCTAAGGCTGGGTTTTAGGGAACCTGAGGCTGGGTTTTAGGGAATCTGAAGCTGGATTTGGGGGAATCTGAGCCTCAACTTTTGGGAAGCTAAGACCAGATTTTAGGGAACCTGAGGCTGGATTTTAGGGAATCTTAGGCTTCCCAGCTCCATGAACCTGGGCCGGCAGCCGCTTTCCTGGGACAACACCAACTTTTCCCTCTTCCCATCCCTCCCTTCCAGCTCTGCTCCCGGATCCTGGAGAAAAACGCCAACCCCCAGTGGAACCAGTGCCTGACGCTGCCGGCCATGGTGAGCCCTGGTGTCCCCAAGGTCCCCTCCCGGTGTCCCCAGCGCCGCTCACCCTCTTCCCGTGTCCCCTTTCCCAGTTCCCGTCCATGTGCGAGCGGATGAGGATCCGTGTGACCGACTGGTGAGCGGGAAGGGCATTCCCAGTGCCCTGGGAGCAGCGGCGGGATGGGCGTGGGGACGTCCCCTCCCCCGCGGTCCCCAAAGTGACGATGTCACCTCGCAGGGACCGCCTGACACACAACGACGTCGTCGGCACCGCTTTCCTCGGAATGTCCAAGATTTCGGCCCCCGGCGGGGAGCTGGAGGGTAAGGGCGGGAAGCGGGCCGGGATTTGGGATGCGTGGCCTTGGAGGAGCTGCATGGCATGGCTGGAGGTCGGTGGTGGCTTTGGGGATGTCACAGCTGTCACCATCCCTGCCTGGGGACATGGGATGGGGTCCTGGGGTTGCTTTGAGCTATGCCTCATTTCTGGATGGATCCAATCCCTCTGGATTCTTGGGATTTGGTGGAATCTTGGGAATGGGGCTGTGGAGGAGCTGCATGGCATGGCTGGAGGTTGATGGTGGCTTTGGGGATGTCACAGCTGTCACCATCCCCGCCTGGGGACACGGGATGGGGTTCTGGGGGTGCTCTAAGCTGTGCCCCATTTCTGGATGGATCCAACCCCTGTGGATTCTTGGGATTTGGTGGAATCTTGGAATTTTTTTGATTCTTGGGAATGGGGTATGAAGGAGCTGCATGGTGTGGCTGGGGGTCGGTGGTGGCTTTGGGAACATCACAGCTGTCACCATTCCTGCCTGGGGACACGGGGTGGCATGCTGGGGTTGCTTTGAGCTGTGTGTGCTTTCCAGATGGATCCAACCCCTCTGGATTCTTGGGAATGGGGCTGTGGAGGAGCTGCATGGCGTGGCTGGAGGACGGTGGTGGCTTTGGGGATGTCACAGCTGTCACCATTCCTGCCTGGGGACATGGGATGGCATCCTGGGGTTGCCCCGAGCTGTGCCCCATTTCCGGATGGATCCAACCCCTGTGGATTCTTGGGATTTGGTGGAATCTTGGGATTTGGTGGATACTTGGGATTTGGTAGAATCTTGGGAATGGGGGATGGAGGCTGCGGGTCCATGGTGTGGCTGGAGGTTGGTGACACATTGTCCTGGTGGTGGCACCGCTGCTGGCAGCCACGCCCCCCCCCCCCCGAGGTGTCCAGCCCACTGAGGTGACACTCAGGGGCTGTCACAGGGTGGGAATTCCCATCCAGCCCGTGCTGTTCCAAATCCCGGGAATTTTCTGAGGGAAAGGACCCCCAGGCGTGGCAGGGCTCAGCCGGGTGTCACTGTCACCGGTGCCAGGTGGGAGGGCGGGAATTTGGGACACGGCTTTGGACCTGCCGAGGGCTTGGAGCTTCCACCTGCATGAGCTTTTCCTGCTGCCAGCGCTTCCATGGAATCCACGATCCCAGTGGGAATTCTGCACTTGGCTTTGGGACCTCCCCATGAGCTGTAGGGGTACGGGATGGCCACGTTGGGAAAAGCTTGGAGCACCCTGGGATAGTGGGAAGCGTCCCTGCCCGTGGAATGGGATGAGCTTTAAGGTCCTTCCAAGCCATTCCGTGATTCCATGGATCAGGACACGATCCAGAGGCTCCACCCGTGCCCCACCCCTGGCGCTGTCCAGTCCCCTCTTCCCAATCCCAACAGAGATCCTGGGATGGGCTGGGGGGAGAGAGAGAGAGAGAGAGAGGCTGGGAGGGAGGATGGGAATGCTGGGATCCAGGATTGGCATCTCCCTTTCCCACCACTGGGATCTGCTTGATCCTGAGGAAATGCCTGGGAATGCAACTCAGGGATGCTCCAACCCCGCTCCACCCCAACCCCACGCCCTCTGGAATTCACCGAGGGCAGGCTGGACAAGGCTCTGAACGAGCCGGGATAGTGGGAAGTGTCTCTGGATGCACCTGGATGGGCTTTAAGGTCCCTTCCCACCCCAACCATTCCATGATTCTTTGATTCCATGATCCCATAATTCCTTGACACCGCGATTCCATGAAAAACCTCTCCGATTCTCTCTCTCTGTCTCTCCGCACTAAAACCTCTCCGCACTCCCCCCTCATTCCCATCCCCATCCCTTCTCCATGCTCCTCTTCCCACCTTTCCCAACCACTCTCCCTCTCTTTGTGCCTCAGATGAGTTTCCTGCTCCTGTGAAGCCTCTGAAACCCTCGGACCGTACGTTCCCAGTACATCCCAGTTTTCCGGCGCCTCCCGGGACTGGTTTTACTGGTTCCGCTCTCTGGACTGGGGGAGGATCAGCTGGGATGAGTTGGGCACCTTGGGAAAAGGGAACGGCTCCGGTTTGGCCCTCTGGGGATTCCCGGGATGCTGTCGTGTTGGGAATGTGGAGCCAGCGGGCACACGGAGGGCAGGATTCCCGCTCAAAATTCCATAGAAACGGGTGGTTCTCCTCATGGAATCACAGGATAGGAAAATCCCTCTGATCCATTGGGTGCCAAGGCCACCCCGTATCCGTGTCCCCAAGTGCCGCATCTGCAGGGATGTTCAGTCCCTCCAGGGATGGGGACAGCCCTTTCCAGGAAGGAATTTTCCCAAAAAATCCAACCTAAACCTCCCTTGGCGCATCCTGAGGCTCCTTCCTCTCTCCTGTCGCTCTTACTCTTGTCCGACCCCTCTCTGACCTCGCCCTTTTCCATGGGGACATTCCCTGGGATTGGGAATTCCCAGGATTCAGCGCCACGCCCTCCGTATTGTTCTCCTGCTCCAAGGTGAGGTCGTGGGATTCAAAATGGGTGGAAATTCCAGGGTTTTGGTGGCCTCCAGCTGTGTGATCCCATTCCCAAGGTGCCTCCAGGAATCCCTAATCCCTCTTTTCCGTGCCATTCCCAGTGGATGACGGGCTGGGATTCCTGCCGACCTTCGGGCCCTGCTACATCAACCTGTACGGCAGCCCCCGGGAATTCACCGGATTTCCCGATCCCTACGAGTCGCTCAATTTGGGAAAGGTGACGTCGGCTGCTTCCCGGCGCATCCCAAAATAACCTCCGGCTCCTCTTTTCCCAAAAAAAAAAAGCTGCTTCTAACCCAACCCGGCTTTGTCGTCAGGAGCCCGCGCTGCGTTTCCCGCTCCCGGTTATTCCCGCTAACGCCTCCCGATCCCGCTCTGCTCCCAAAATTCCACCTCGGAAGTGCTGGCTGGAATTCTTTGCCTGGTCCTGCTGCTCCGTGATGAAGCTCCTTGGAAGCAAAGGCAGAGCTTGGCCCTCGGGAAGGGAATTCTGGGATCCTGACTCCTGTTCCTGGTTTATCCCAAGGGCGAGGGGGTCGCGTATCGGGGCCGGATCCTGGTGGAGCTGGAGACCAAACTGGTGGAGCACATGGAGCAGAAGGTGGAGGAGATCCCTGCCGATGACATCCTGAGGGTGGAGGTACTGGAATTTCTGGAAAACCTCTGGGATTGGCACGTGGGACACTATGGAAGGGGTGTTGGCCATGGGTGGGGGTTGTCCCATGGTCCGCGAGCTCCTGGAGGGGTCTCCTGCTGGATTTCCATCCCAAAGTGTCCAGGCAGGTCCATCCGAGCTGGTCATGGTGAGCATGGAATTGTGGGATCATGGAATGGTTTGGGTGGGAATGGACCTTGAAGCTGATCACGTTCCATGGCAGGGACACCTCCCACTGTCCCAGGCTGCTCCAACCCCAGTGTCCAGCCTGGCCTTGGGCACTGCAGGGATCCAGGGGCAGCCCCAGCTGCTCTGGGAATTCCAGCCCAGGCAGGAATTCCTTGCCAAGATCCCAGCCCCATCTCCCCATTCCCAGTGGGAGCCATTCCTGGCTCCTGTCCCTGCAGGCCTTGTCCCCAGCCCCTCTGCAGCTCTCCTGGAGCCCCTCCAGGCACTGCCCAGGGGTTTCAGGTCTCCCATGACATTTTTGGAGATTTCCTTTCATTCCGGCTCTCTCAGATTTCCTCCTTTGGCTCCTTTTCCATGAGAAGCTGCAGCCTTCTCTTCCATCTGCCTTTTCCTAAAATTCCCCCAAAATCACCGTGCTGCCAAGTTTGTTGTTCCCCCTGCAAGAAAATTCCCATCCTGGGATCACTGAGGTTGGAAAATCCCTCCAAGGCCATCCAGTCCAAGCTGTGCCCCATCCCCACCTTGGCTGATCTTACACTGAGCGCCACATCCAGGAATTCCTTGGACACCTCCAGGGATGGGACTCCAAACTCCCTGGGCACTTCCAAGGCCTGACCACCCTTTCCATGGGGAAATTCCTGCTGGTGTCCAACCTGAGCCTCCCGTGGCACAGCCTGAGGCCGTTCCCTCTTATTCTGTTATTCCCTGGGATCAGATCCAACTCCCACCTGGTTCCAACCTGGCAGGGAGCTGTGCAAAGCCAGAAGGCCCCTCTGGATCCTCCTTTTCTCTGGAATGAGCCCCTTTCCCAGCTCTCTCAGCTTTTCCTGGTTCTCCAGACCGTTTCCAACTCCCTCAGCTTTTCCTGGTTCTCAGCCCCTTCCCAGCTCCCTCAGCTTTTCCTGTTTTTCCAACCCCCTTCCAACTCCCTCAGCTTTTCCTGGATCTCCAGCCCCTTCCCAACTCCCTCAGCTTTTCCTGGATCTCCAGACCTTTCCCAACTCCTCAGCTTTTCCTGGTTCTCCAGCCCCTTCCCAGCTCCCTCAGCTTTTCCTGTTTTTCCAACCCCTTCCCAACTCCCTCAGCTTTTCCTGGATCTCCAGATCCTTCCCAGCTCCCTCAGTTTTCCTGGTTCTCCAGACCCTTCCCAACTCCCTCAGCTTTTCCTGGTTCTCCAGCCCCTTCCAGCTCCCTCAGCTTTTCCTGATTCTCAGACCCTTTCCCAGCTCCCTCAGCTTTTCCTGTTTTTCCAACCCCTTCCCAGCTCCCTCAGCTTTTCCTGATTCTCCAGCCCTTTCCCAGCTCCCTCAGCTTTCCCTGGTTCTTCAGCCCCTTCCCAACTCCCTCAGCTTTTCCTGTTTTCCAGCCCCTTCCCAGCTCCCTCAGCATTTCCTGGTTCGCTTTTCCTGGTTCTCCAGCCCCTTCCCAGCTCCCTCAGCCACTCAGGATTTACCCTCAGCCTCTTCCGGCTCCAAGTCCCGGAGACCATTGGCAGCATCTCCTCCATGTCCGATTCCCATTGGTATTCCAGAAATACCTGCGCCGGCGGAAATATTCCCTCTTCGCCGCCTTCTACTCGGCCACAATGCTCCAGGGCGTGGACGGCGCCATCCAGTTCGAGGTCAGCATTGGGAATTACGGAAACAAGTTCGACACCACCTGCCTGCCCCTGGCCTCCACCACCCAGTACAGCGGGGCCGTCTCGATGGTGAGCACGGATCCCGGCCTCCGGGATGATCCAAACCCGGCTGGTGGGAGAGAACCCTGGAATTATGGGATGGTTTGGGAAGGAAGGGGCCTTAAATCCCATTCCATTCCAGCCAGGGACACCTCCCACCGTCCCAGGTTTATCCAAGCCCCAGTGTCCAGCCTGGCCTTGGGCACTGCCAGGGATCCAGGGGCAGCCTCAGCTGCTCTGGGAATTCCAGCCCAGGCAGGAATTCCTTGCCAAGATCCCAGCCCAATCTCCCCTTTCCCAGTGGGAGCCATTCCCTGGCTCCTGTCCCTGCAGGCCTTGTCCCCAGCCCCTCTCCAGCTCTCCTGGAGCCCCTTCAGGGACTCTGAGGATTCCCTGGATTTTCCCTTCTCCAGGGGAGCATTCCCAGCTCCCCCAGAGCAGAGGGGCTCCAGAATCCTGGAATGGCTTGGGTGGGAAGGGACCTTAAATCCCATCCCATTCCCACCCCATCCATGGGCAGGGACACCTCCCCCTGTCCCAGATTTCTCCAAACCCATCCAGCTTGATCTTGGACACTTCCAGGGATCCAGGGCAGCCAGAGGTTGTGTCCAGGTGATCCTGCTGAAGGTGTCCCTGCTTGGACCAGACAGCTCCAGAGGGTTTTCCCACCTCAGCCATGGGAATTTGTGTCTGGGAAGGAGCAGGGAAGCTGGGGCCTCTCTCAGCTCCGTGAGGTGGTTTTTGGGAGCATCTTTCCCTGGCCTTTTCCCGGCTCCCGTCTCATCCCACCAGGAATGCTGAGCTGGTTCCTGGCCTTGCTGCCGGAACCATGGAGTCAGATCCCCTTGGATCTCGGCGGGATCTCAAGGATTTGGGGATCACCATTCCCATCTTTCTCCCAAACACCTTCTGAGGGGAATTCCCATCCCAGTCCCGCTCTTCCCCCTCCGTCCCTGCTCCTGAGGGGCGGATCCCGTTATCCCAACATGCCGAGGTGACGCCGCGCTGTCCCCCAGGCTGTCACTACTATTACCTGCCCTGGGGGAACGTGAAGCCCGTGGTGGTGCTCTCCTCCTACTGGGAGGACATCAGCCACCGCATGGACGCCCAGAACCTGCTGCTCTACGGGGCCGAGCGGCTGGTGAGTGACCGGGGACACCCTGGGGACACCCTGGGGACACTGAGAGGGGACAGAGGCCATCTCCAGGCTGGGGAGTGACTGGGGACACCCTGGGGACATCCTGGGGACACCGTGAGGGGACGGAGGCCGCCCCCAGTCTGGGGAGTGACTGGGGACATCCTGGGGACACTGAGAGGGGACAGAGGCCATCTCCAGGCTGGGGAGTGACCGGGAACATCCCTGGGGACATCCTGGGGACATCCCAGGGACATCGGGAGGGGACAGAGGCCACCTCCAGGCTGGGGAGTGACCAGGGATATCCTGGGGACATCCTGGGGACACTGTGAGGGGACAGAGGCCACCTCCAGGCTGGGGAGTGATCGGGGACACCCTGGGGACATCCTGGGGACACCACGAGGGGCCGGAGGCCACATCCAGGCTGGGGAGTGACCGGGGACATCCTTGGGGACATCCTTGGGACATCCCTGGGGATACCTGGAGGGGACAGAGGCCACCTCCAGGCTGGGGAGTGACCAGGGACATCCTGGGGACATCCCAGGGACACCGCAAAGGGACAGAGGCCATCTCCAGGCTGGAAAGTGTCCAATGACATCCCTGGGGACACCTCCATGTGGGGAGTGTCCAGGGATATCCTGGGGACATCCTGGGGCCACCAGGAGGGGACAGAGGCCACCTCCAGGCTGGGGAGTGTCTGGTGACACAGCTGCGTATCCACTGGATGAGGAACTTCATGGAATCATGGAATGGTTTGGGTGGGAAGGGAACTTAAATCCCACCCAGTTCCACCCCATCCCATGGGCAGGGACACCTCCCACTGTCCCAGGTGGATCCAAGCCCCAATGTCCAACCTGGCCTTGGGCACTGCCAGGGATCCAGGGGCAGCCCCAGCTGCTCTGGGGATTCCAGCCCAGGCAGGAATTCCTTGCCAAGATCCCAGCCCAATCTCCCCTTTCCCAGTGGGAGCCATTCCCTGGCTCCTGTCCCTGCAGGCCTTGTCCCCAGCCCCTCTCCAGCTCTCCTGGAGCCCCTGCAGGCACTCTGAGGATTCCCTGGAATTTTCCCTTCTCCAGGGGAACATTCCCAGCTCTCCCAGAGCATCCTTTCTTTCCTGAAGTGGTTTGGGTTTGGAGAAACTTTAAATCCCATCTCATCCATGGTCAGGGACACCTCCCACTATCCCAGGTGACTCCAAGCCCTGTCCACCCTAGAGAAATTCCAGCGATCCAGGGCCTGTCCTTCAGGTCCTGAGCGATTTCTGACATTTCCCATTGGATTTCCCTGTTGGTTCCCCTGGAGCTCCAAACATTTGGATGCAGATCCCTGCTGGGGACCCAGAGCGGAATCTCTGATCCCTGGGAGTTTCCTCTTGCTGGGAACATCCTGGAATCAGGATGAGATTCCGGGCGACTCCTCAGCTCCCGATCCCCACTTTTCCTGCAGGAAGCCAACCTGGAGAAGATCCACGTGGCTCTGAAATCCAACCGCTCCCCGGTCGAGCTGGAGGCCCTGGGATCCCAACTGCTTGACGACGTCATCGCCGACTGCAGGTGCTTTGGGAATTCGGGATGGAAAACCTTTCCTGATGTTTCTTCTTGGTCTTGGAAGGGAACACTGCCTCTGCCCCTCCTCTCCTTTCTTCACTCCCCTTTTTTCTCCCTTTTCCCTCCCTTTTCTCCCTTTTTTCCCTCTCTTTTCCCATTTCTTCTCATTTTTCCACTCTCCTCCCTTTTTTCCCTTTTTCCCTCTCTTTTCCCATTTCTTCTCATTTTTTCCACTTTTTCCTCCCTTTCTCCCTTTTCCCTTCTATCCCTTTTTTGTCTGTTCCCTCCTTTTTCCCCACCTTTTCTCCTTTTTTCTATTTTCTCTCCCTCCTTACCCCATTTTTCCCCTTTCTCCCTTTTCCTTCATTTTCCCCCCTTTTCCCACTTTCCTTTTATTCACCTTTTCCCTTTGTTTCGGTTTTTCCTTTCCCCTCTTTTTCCTCTTTTTCCCCCTCCCCCCTTTCCCCTTTTTTGCTTTCTTTTTTCCTTTTCCCCCTTCTCCCTTTTTTCTATTTCTTTCTTTTTTCTCTTTTTTCCCCCTTTTTCTCCCTCTTTCTCCCTTTTAATATTTTTTCCTTTTCTCCCCTTTTCCCTACTCCCTTTTCCCTTTTTTTTTCTCTTTTCCCCATTTTTCTGTTTTTCCCTTATCCATTTCCCCCTTTTCTCCCTTGTTTCTTTTTCCTGATTTTTCATTTTTTTTTGTCTTTCCCCCTTTTATTCTCTTCCCCCTTTTTTCCTCTTTTTGCCTTTTCTCCCCTTTTTTTCTTCCCACCTTTTTTTCCCCTTATTTCCTTTTTTTTCCTTATTTCCTTTTTTTCCTTCTCCCCCTCCTTTTTATCCCCTTTTTATCCATTTTCCCCTCTTTTCCCTCCTCATTCCCCCTCACTCCAAATCCTCATCCCTGGAAGTATCCAAGGCCAGGCTGGACAGGGCTTGGAGCAACCTGAGAATAGTGGAAAATCCCAAACTATTCCATAATTCCACGTACCTGCAATAAAAAAAAATGGCATTTACAGATCCCATTCCCGAGGTGGGAATGTCGCATCCTTAAAAATCTCCTTCCAAACCTCTCCACAGCCTAAAAATGGATTTATCGTTCTCTCCATCTATTTTTTCCGGAGGAAATCCTGATTTGTGGCTCGGGAGCCAGGAGCAGGAAGTTAATTTATAGCAGCGGATCCATAAATCCTTGAATTTTACAGGAAAACCGCCCACTTTGGCACCTGATCCATTTTTCCAGGAGCTTGGATAATGGATATTAAAATGTGGGTGTGGCTCATTCCCATCCTGATTCCTGGGTTCCTGGGGGAATTCCGGCCTTGGTTTGAAGCTCTTTTGCTCTTCCTGTTCCCAAATATCTTTGGTGGCTTCTCAGTTCCTTGGAAATTTGCTGAAAATATGGAAAAACCATTAAAAAAGGCTGGAAAATCCCACAAGAAACTGGATGAGCTATTGGGGGGGAGGATTTGGGGTGGATTAATGATCATTAATGATGATTAGTGACCATTAATGACCTGTAATGATCATTAACGACCATTAATGACCACTGATGATGATTGGTGACATTAGTGGCCATTAAACACCATTAATGATGACCTTTAATGACCATTAGTGATGATTGGTGACTAATGACCATTAGTGACCATTAATGCCAATTAATAAAAAATTCATGTTGATTAGTGACCATTAATGACCATTAATGTCAATTAGTGACCCTTAATGACCTTTAATGATCGTTAATGACCATTAATGATGATTGAGGATCATTTATGATCTTTAATGATCAGTAACAACCATTAACAACCTTAGATGATGATTGGTGACCATTAATGAATATTAGTCACCATTAATGACTATTAATCACCATTAATGACGACTGGTGACCATTAATGACCACTAATGACCATTAATCACAATTAATGACCTTTAATCCCCGTTAGTGATCATCAGTGACAATTAACAACCCCTAATGACCCTCAAGGTCCATCCCGATCCAACCCAATCCCTGATTCCCGCCTATCCCTGCAGCCTGAAGCTTCCCGATGTCCTGGGGAGGGCGTCCAGCACCCACCTGGATCAGAACCTGTTCCGCTTCCGGAGCACCCACCTGGAGCAGATCCTCAAGGTGGCCCTGAGGCTCAAGCATGAGAATTCCGGCCTCTCCCAAATCCTGGATCAGGCGGAGGATTGGCTGTGCCGGCTCCAGGCCATGGCGGAGGAGGTGACTCTCTTCCTGGTTTTCCCATCGTGGTTTTGGTGGGAAGCGGGGATGATGTTCCATCCCGGCTCCCAAATCCGTGGATTCTCTCCCACGGTGCCAGGTTTGGCTCCAATGGTTGAGGTTGGTTTTGCTCACGGATGGGTTGAGGTCAGCTCATGGATAGGGAGCGGCTGTGGGAGAAGGACTTGGAATGTTGGTAGGTGGGAAGCTCCGCATGCTCCGGCTGTTCCCACAGCAGGAAAAGGGGGAATTCTTCCCCTCGACCATGGAAACAGGCTGGGAGAGCTGGGAATGTTCCCCTGGAGAAGGGAAAACTCCAGGGAATCCTCAGAGTCCCTGCAGGGGCTCCAGGAGAGCTGGAGAGGGGCTGGGGACAAGGCCTGCAGGGACAGGAGCCAGGGAATGGCTCCCACTGGGAAAGGGGAGATTGGGCTGGGATCTTGGCAAGGAATTCCTGCCTGGGCTGGAATTCCCAGATTTGCTGGGGCTGCCCCTGGATTTCCTGGCAGTGTCCAAGGTCAGGCTGGATGGAGTTGGATCCATCTGGGATAAGATCCCATCCCAACCCACATTTCACAATCCCATTCTGGGCTGTGCTGGTGGATCCCTCCTAACGGGATCCTGTGGATTTGTGTTTTCCAGCCCCAGAACAGCCTCCCGGACATCGTCATCTGGATGCTCCAGGGGTACAAACGCGTGGCCTTCGCCCGCATCCCAGCCCACCAGGTCCTGTATTCCCGGAACATCCCCACCTGCTGCGGCCGGAACTGCGGGAAGCTCCAGACCATCTTCCTCAAGGTACCTTTGGAAGCCTGTCCAGGTGGAATCTTGATTTTTCCAAACAGTTTTTGCCCCTAAAAATAATTGCAAAAGATGGAAAATCCTGCAGGGAAAGCTCAAATCCCAGTGCAATGTTTGGCTCCGGTTTCATGGAATCACGGAAAGTTTTGGGTTGGGAGAGACCTTAAACACTTGACCTTGTCTGTGTTCCTGTCCCTCTCCCTGTCCTTGTTCCTGACTTTGTCCCTGTCCCTGTCTTTCTTCCTGACCCTTTCCTTATCCTTGTCCCTGACCCTGTCCTTGTTCCTATCCATGTTCCTGAACTTGTCCCTGTCCTTGAACTTGTCCCTGTCCCCTCCCTGTCCTTGTCCCTGACCTTTTCCCTGTTCCTGACCTTGTCCTTGCCCCTGACCTTGTCCATGTCCTTTTCCCTATCCCTGCCCATGTCCTTGTCCCTGTCCCTGACCTTTCTGTGACTCTGTCCTTGTCCCTGATCCTATTCCTGATCCTCTCCCTGATCCTGTCCAGGACCACTGGAATTTTGAAGCTCCTCAAGGTCATCTGGGGTCACATTTTAGGGATGTCGATGGTGGTGCTGGGATGATCCTGAAGGTCTTTTCCAACCTCAATTCCACAATCCCAAAGCTCTCCACCCACTCCTGACTCTACCCCATGACTGCTCCATGTCCCCACCTTCCCCATCCAGGGATCTTCATTCCCACCCTTCCAGCCTCCCAGAATTCCCATTAATCCCTTCCTGGGGGCCTTTTCCTTGGCAGTACCCGCAGGAGGAGGTGATGGGGCCGCGGATCCCGGCGCAGATCCGGGTGCGGCTCTGGTTCGGATTGGCCGTGGATGAGAAGGAATTCAACCAATTCGCCGAGGGAAAACTCTCCGTCTTCGCCGAAACCGTGAGCATTCCCAAGGGATCCCCATCCCGGTGGGAAAAGGGAGTGGGCTGGACCTAAAACCTCATCATTCCCTAAAAACTGTGGGAAGGAGGAGCTGTTCCCACCAGCTCAGCCTGGAATGCCGAGGGGAAAGTTGGGAATGAGTCATGGAGCCGTGTTGTCCCTCACAACGGGAAAATTGGGATGCCGTGGAATGGGTTGGGCTTTTCCCGTATCTGTCCCTCTGCTGGGAGTATTCACGGGACTCTATGGGATTATCTATGGAATTCTGTAATTCCGACCCCAAATCCATCTTTTTCTTGGCTCTCTCAGTATGAGAACCAGACCAAGCTGGCGCTGGTGGGGAACTGGGGCACCACCGGCCTCACTTATCCCAAATATTCCGACGTCACCCGGCCGGATCAAGCTTCCCAAGGACAGCTTCCGGCCTTCCGCGGGATGGACCTGGGCTGGGGATTGGTTCATCTGCCCGGAAAAGACGTGAGTGGGGCTTTTCTGCTGAGAATTTGCGGGAATCCCAAAATTCAGTGCCGAAATCTGGGATGCCCCTGTGGCTGCTCATCTGTGTCCGCGGATGTGATTCCCCCTCATCCAAATCTTGGGACGCTCCAGAACTGAGGCACTCTGGGGTGGGATTTTCATCCTGGTTTGGGTTTTTCCTGAGGAGGAACTTTGCTCGGAGGGGTGGGAGAAATTTGGGAGCGCTGAGGATGGTGCGGGAGGAAGGTGGGAGATGGAGAATCCCTGATTTTGGGTGTTCCCGGGATTCAGGTTGCTGCACGACGTGGACGCCGGGCACCTGAGCTTTGTGGAGGAGGTGTTTGAGAACCAGGTCCGGCTTCCCGGAGGGCAGTGGATCCACATGACCGATTCCTACACGGACGTGGTGAGGGAAAACTGGGAATTCTGGGAGCCGGGCTGGAATCCCAGGGGGAAATTTAGGGGTCGGTTTGGGTGAGAATTCCCTGTGTCCCACAGAACGGGGAGAAGGTCCTGCCCAAGGATGAGATCGAGTGTCCTCCAGGCTGGAAGTGGGAAGATGTGGAATGGGACACGGATCTCAACAGGGCTGTGGACGAGAAAGGTATAAAAGATGGAATTTTGAGATCTGGGATTTGGGAATTTTGGGATCCTGGAATTTTGGGATCCGGGATTTGGGAACTTTGGGATTTCTTTCCATGGTCTGTGGATGAAAACATTCCCCTGGCTGTGGGAACTGGAGCAGGAGGAGGGATCAGGCTCTGGGGATCCTTTTCATTTGTCTCTGCCCTGAGCTGTGGGATGGGAATTCCCAAAGGAGGTGCTGTGATAATCTGGGAAGATCCTGGTGGAAAAGAAATGGAAAACGCCAGCCTGGAGAGTGCTGGGATGGTCCCGGGGGTTGGAATGGCTGGAGGGAGTGAGGGAAGAGTCCCCAGGGTGGGATTTGGAGCCAAGGACACCACGGGTCCATCCCTGGGCATTCCAGAGGGATGGATTGTGCCGTAAGGAGGGAAATCCAGCTGGGGAATTTTCCTGGATTCAGCCACACCTTCACCATTGGAAATTCCTGGTGAGAGCGACAAGGTGTGGGGAGGGAGGCTCTTCTCCCACCTCCACCGGGTATTCCCTTCTTCCCAAGGCTGGGAATACGGGATCACGATCCCGCCGGAGCGCAAGCCCAAGGCCTGGGTGCCGGCGGAGAAGATGTTCCACACCCACCGGCGCCGGCGCTGGGTGCGGCTCCGCCGGCGCGACCTGGAGCACATGGAGGCCATAAGAAAGGTGGGATTGGCCAGGAAAAGCTGCCACTGGATCGGGATGTGGCCCTGTCCCTCCGGGTGGGTGCCCGGCTTTGGCAGGATCCGCTTTTCCTTGGAGATTGAGGGGGGCTCATCCCGCGTTTCCGGTGGAAAATGCCACGTTCCCGGGGAGGAGAACATTCCGGAGGGATTGACTGGGATGTGGGGTGGGATGGAGACATCCAGGGAAGCCCGGGAGTGTGGGAAATGGGGGAGGGCCGGTGTCCCCAGCCTGTCCCTATCCCGTTTCCCTCTAGATGGTGCCATTGGACCGGGAATGCCACTTCCGCTTCTCGGTCCTCCCCGCCGCTTCCCAAGGCCGCTTGTCTCCCCTTCCCAGAAAATTTTCAGGATAACTGTAGCCACTGTCACCCCATTTGCTGCGGGAGAAAAACCTTCCAAGGCTTGGGGTGGATGATCCAGGGAGAAATTCCAGAGGCGGCAGAGCCATGGGAGGGGTGGGGATGATGGCAAAGGGAAAAGCGGGATGGGAAGCAGAGCTGCTGGGGCTCCACAGGCCTGGGCAGGGTCTGGTCCCAGCCCAGCGATCCCGCTCCAAGTGGGATTCATCCCAGGGATTGGGGTAGGGCTGCATTCCCAGGGTGGGTCCAGCAGTGGTAATGGTTGGATTGGGAGAATCCAGCTCCATCCTGGGAAGTGTCCGAGGCCAGGTTGGACATTGGGGCTTGGAGCAACCTGGGATAGGTGAACATGGAATGGGGTGGAATGGGATGGGATTTAAGGCCCCTTCCCACCCAAACCATTCCAGAATTCTTGAGTCAGGCTGGGAGAGCTGGGAATGTTCCCCTGGAGAAAGGAAAATTCCAGGGAATTTTCAGAGTCCCTGGAGGGGCTCTAGGAGAGCTGGAGAGGGGCTGGGGCCAAGGCCTGCAGGGACAGGAGCCAGGGAATGGCTCCCACTGGGAAAGGGGAGATTGGGCTGGGATCTTGGCAAGGAATTCCTGCCTGGGCTGGAATTCCCAGATTTGCTGGGGCTGCCCCTGGATCCCTGGCAGTGCCCAAGGCCAGGTTGGACATTGGGGCTTGGATCCACCTGGGATAAAGGGAGATGTCCCTGGAAGTGGCTGAGCTTTAAAGTCCCTTCCATCCCAAACCATAATTCCATGATTCCATGACAATCTCCGGGGCCTTTCCCAACTGAAACCAAATGACCTCAGAGATCTTTCCCAGCCAGAATATTCCTATGATTCTCCAAACAATTCCATGACTCCATTCCATTATTCCAACCTGGGGGAGACACGGGCAAAACCTGGGGTGGAACAACCATATCCAACAACATCCCAAAAAACCTAAACCCAGCATTTTTGGGTGAATCCTGGAAAACCTGATCGCCGTGATCCCTGTCTGGCAGCACAAGCAGGAGGAGCTGGATGGGGATGGTTGGGAATACGCTTCCCTCTTCGGCTGGCGCTTCCACCTCCAGCAGCGCCGCTCCGACTCCTTCCGCCGGCGCCGCTGGAGACGCCGGATGGAGCCTCTGGAGCGCACCGGCCCCGCCGCTGTCTTCGCCTTGGAAGGGGCTCTGGTAGGGAACGGCTTCTCCCATTCCCAAATTTCTGCCTGGGAATGTTATCGGCTGCTCGTTGTCTGTTTCCCGTTGTCCCGTTATCCGCCCTGTTTGTTCCCTGCTTTCCCTCTTTGTTCCCGACTTTCTCCACACTCTGGGTTTCCCAATCCGCTCCTTTTCCAATGATTCCATGAGAGCCAAAGCAGCACAAAGCTCCCATTCTGTGCTTTTATGGAATTTTTTCCTCTCCTGATTGGCTCCCCCCCCCCCCCCCCCCTTTTTCCTTGCTCTGTCTTTCCCTCCAATCCAGACTCGATCCCTTTGGGATCAAAGCAGCTCCGTGGTGTTTTCCATGAGCCGTTCCCAGCTCGGGGGATCCCAGCTGCCTCTCACCCCCAGAGCTCCCGGCGGGATTGTTCCTATTCCCCTTTTTCCCATGGGATCTGCAAATGGGAATCCTCAGCCTTGGAAATCTCTCCTTTTCCCGCAAATATTCCAAGGCCTAATGGGGAATTAGGAGAACTCGGGAATCTCCAAGAGCTTTTCCAACCTAAATTTTAGGATTCTGGGGAACGCTGGAAGCTCAGACTCCTCTTGGACACCCCAGAGAATTCCATCCCATGGGGAATCCTCGCTCTGGAGGTGATCCCGGCATTCCTGACTTTCCATTGTTTTCCTTGCAGGGAGGAGTGACGGACGACAAGAGCGACGATGGAAAATCCGACGGAAAATCCGCGTCCACCCTCAGTTTCGGAGTCAACAGACCCACGATCTCCTGCATTTTTGACTGTAAGGACCCCAGGGAAGCAGGAAAGGCATTCCCCATCCTTTTCCCAGAAAAAAGATGGAAAAATAAAGATGGAAAAAGGGTGGAGGGGAGGATGGTGCTTATGGGAACATCCAGAGGCTCCAGGATTGGAGCTGGGGATATCCTGGGGGGATTAAGCCGGGATTCTCTCAGATGGGAGATGAGGAATGATGGAATCTCCCTGGGATCTTTTCCATGTTTCCCGTTCTTCCGGCAGCCGGGAACAGATTCCACCTGCGCTGTTACCTGTACCAGGCCCGGGATCTCATTGCCATGGACAAGGACAGCTTCTCCGGTGAGTCCGGATCTGCACCGGGATGGAATTCTGGGAACAGAGGGGGACCATCCATGGGCAGGGACACCTTCCCTGATCCCAGGTGGATCCAAGCCCCAGTGTCCAGCCTGGCCTTGGGCACTGCCAGGGATCCAGGGGCAGCCCCAGCAAATCTGGGAATTCCAGCCCAGCCAGGAATTCCTTGCCAAGATCCCAGCCCAATCTCCCCTTTCCCAGTGGGAGCCATTCCCTGGCTCCTGTCCCTGCAGGCCTTGTCCCCAGCCCCTCTCCAGCTCTCCTGGAGCCCCTCCAGGCCTGGAATGGGCTCCAAGGAATCTCTGGAGCCTTTCGCTCTCCATGCTGGATATGATGGAGCACAGGGAGAAACTTCCATGGGATGTACCCAAGGAAAATTCCGGGAGGGTGACGGGATTTTATCAGGACCTCAGCTCAATTCAGCCCCTTCTTCTCCAGCATCCTCAGGAAATTCCTTGTTGGATTTGATCCAGTGGAAGGTTCCCAGCCAGTGGGGTTGGATCTGGATGATCCCTAGGTTTCCTTCCATCCCAAAACAGTCTGGGATTCCATGATTCCATAATTCCTTAGCATCCCCCTCCTCCCAGCTGCACAGGGAGGCAGCAGTCCCTGGGATTTGGGATTTAGGAAGGGGATTTCCATGGAAAAAAGGGAATCCAGGTGGAAAACAGGGGCTGGCCTTTGTAGAGGGGTTTTCCATGTCCTGCTCCTCCACCCTTTCCCAGCATAACTCCAGGGATTTCTGAAATTCCCAGGATTGTGCTGGTGTGGTTGGGACTTCCCACGCTGGGGTTTTTTTGGGAATAAGAAAGAAGCCAGAATCGGAGAAATCCTTTTATCCATGGGATTTCCATGCTGGAGGTGCTTGGATGGTTGGATGCAGGTGGAGCATCCCTTTGGAATGTGGTTGAGGGGGGATGGAATGCCGGAAAATCCCACGTTCTCATCCCTGGAGGCTGGGCCATCCCAGCCAGGTATTCCCATTAATGCTTCGGAGCTGGAAAAGCGGGAAAAGGGAATGCCGCCTCCTCTGGATCAGAGCTGGAATAATGTGGAATGTCCCAAATCCCGGGAAAAGAGATCCAACATCCCTCCAGGGCTATCCCTGCTCTATTCCCACGAGAATTTACAGGAGGATTTGGGTGGGATTTCCCTCCAAATTCTGGGATTTCAACCCCACTTGGGACAACGCATCCCAGGAATGATGTGAAACACGATCAGTCCCAAAACTGGGGAAGCAGCTGGACCGCGATCCCGAGGGAATCCTGCTTTTCCCAGTGGTTGGAATAATGTGATTTTTTGGGAATAAACACCCCAGAGCATCCAAAAAGAAAAAAAAATCCCCCAGTGCCTGTTCCCACCTGGAATTCCCACAAAAGGCTCCTTGTTGGGATGAGGAGGTGGGAGCGAGGTGAGCTCATGGCCCGGGAGGGGAGTCCGGAATCGTTTTCCTTTGGAAAAATCCCGGCCAAGGACAACACGAGCAGCAATGTTCCACAATGTGGGATTGTGATTCCCGCTGCCGGGAATAAAGGAGTTCATTAAAGGGGCTCGGCAGTTGGAAAAATAAACATTCCCTGCTCCCAACAAAGGGGCTTTAGAGAGGCTTCCATGAAAAAAAAAAAAAAAAAAGAAAGGAGGAGAAGGGAGGGAAAAATGGGAAAAAAAAAAAAAAAAGGAAAAGCAACTCCAAATCCAGGGGTTTTTGTTTATTGTAAAGGATTTGGCTGAGGAAAAGTGGGAAAGTGGGAAAGGCTCTTCCCAGAGTGGGTGGTTGGGAATGTCTGAGTGGTCCTGGATTGTTAAATCTGGATGGAGGGGGAAATCCAGCCCCTGGTGCCCCAATTCCTTGGAAAAGCGGGGGGAAAGGGGGAATGCTGCTGGGATCAGCTGGCCCTGCTTCCAGGGGGTGTGGGACAATCCTGGGATCTCAGTCCAGGAATGTGGGATGTTCCTGGGAGCTGAAACCGAGGATGTGGGATAGTCCTGGGATCTGAATCCAGGGATGTGTGTGGGGTCTTCCTTGGATCTGAATCCATGGGTGTGGGATAATCTTGGGATCTGCACCCATGGATTTGTGGAATAATCCTGGGATCTGAATCCAGGGGGGTGTGGGATGCTCCTCCACCTCCCAGCCAGGAATTCCTTGCCAAGATCCCAGCCCAATCTCCCCTTTCCCAACGGGAGCCATTCCCTGGCTCCTGTCCCTCCTTCCCTTATCCCAAATCCCTCTCCAGCTCTCCTGGAGTCCCTTTAGGCCCCGAAAGTGGCTCCAAGATTTCCCTGGATCTTTAGGACAATCCCAACTCTCAGACTGAGCCTTTCCAGCTGGAAAACCACCTGGAAAACAGGGCGGTTTGGGCTTGGAATGCCCAATTCCAGGCGGGAGAGACTGGGCAGCTCCCTTCTCCTCAAGCAAGACCCCGAGGGAACTCAAGATGAGATGGAGCGAGCTGAGAAATCCCAAATTCTTTGGGAGCCAGTTCCGGATGGAGCTCGGGATTCTGGGAAGAGCCGGAGCCGGGATCCACCCCTGAATCCCAAATCCTTGAATCCCATTCCCGCAGATCCCTACGCCATCGTGTCCTTCCTGCACCAGAGCCAGAAGACGGTGGTGGAGAAGAACACCCTGAATCCCACCTGGGATCAGACCCTGATCTTCTACGAGATCGAGATTTTCGGGAATGCTCAGGACGTGGCCGAGTCCCCCCCCAACATCCTGGTGGAAATCTATGACCACGACACCTACGTGAGTGTGGCGGTTCCCGCCGGGAAGTCCCAGCCTCTGGAATGTGATGTCCAGCATCTCTGGGCGGTGTTTGGGCTCCGGGGTGGACATTCCAGAGGGGGAAAGTCCCAGGGAAAATCCTGTGGTGTCCTTGAGGTCCCCATTCTCACTGGGCTTCCTCATTGTCATTTAAAGTGGGAAAATCAACGGAATTTCCTCATGGAAAAACCTTGGGATAAAGTTGGAAGGCGTTGTGGAATTAGGGGAATGCACTCTGCTGTTTGTGGCGTCCAAAGGACCTGGAATTATGGAATTCTCAGGGGTTGGTGGCAGGAACTCCAGGTTTTTCCCAGAAAAACCAGGCTGGGAAGAAAAACCAACCTGGAAAAACCTAAGTGCAGGAGGGAATTCTGTGGAAAAAACACTTGGAAATACACCTTGGGAAGGGCTTGGGAATATCTCAGAAATATTTTTCCCTCTCTCCTGCTCCTTCCCGGCAGGAAAGATTCCAAAGATCCCAGTGCAGAGCAGGGAATGGGATTTTTAGGAGCTGACAAAGGCTTTGAGTTCCTTCTCTGGAAAACCTGGGATGGGAATTCCTAAAAAGGTGTTTTTCTCCTAAAAAGGTGTTTTTCCAGCCTTAGGAATTCCAGGGAGGAGTTGGAAAACTGGAGGCTCTATGAGCACCGATCCCATTTGTTTTCCTGCCCTGATCCCATAATGGGATCATCCCTCACTCCCGATTTTTGCCTGGGGATCGGAGGGGCGGGGGGGGGGGGGGATGATGGATTTATCTGGGAAAAGGGATGGGAAGGATGATCCCAACTCCCATGGTTCCCGTTTCCCTGGAATTCCCTCTCCAGGGCGCGGATGAATTCATGGGACGCTGCATCTGCCGGCCCAGCCTGGAGCGCTCGCCCCGGCTCTCCTGGCATCCCGTCCTCAAATCCGGCCGGAACGTCGGGGAGCTCCTGGCTGCCTTCGAGCTGATCCAGAGGGAAAAGGTGAGATCCATCCCTGAGCCCGGAATGCTCCGGAATTCCGCTTCCTCCCCGGGATCCGGATTTTCCAGGTGTTGGTGTTTTCCACTGGCGCCTTTGGAGCCTGGCAAGAGCCGGAGGGGTTTGGGATTTGTCCCTTCTTTGAGGGATAATTCCGTAGGATGAGGTTTTCCAGGTGGGAAAAGAGGTGGTTTAGGGTTGGCCTGATGGAAAACTGCAGAATTCCAGGTGGGATGGGCTGGATGGATCCTTCTCTCCTCGGACAAGTCCTGGGGAGGTCTCAGGGATATCGAGGGAGCTGGGAATCGCCAAATCCATTAGGAATGCTGCCCTTTCCTTGGAATTATTTCTGGAGGGGGTTTAGGAGACCTGAAACCACTCCAGCTTTTCCAATGGCTGCATCCCAGATGTGCCAGGAAAAAGGGATGGATTGGAAAGCTCAGTCCCTGTATCCCACTCTTCCTTCCCAGCCCTGAGGTTTATCTGGGAATGGGAATCCCACAATTCCCTTTTCCCTGGAAATCCCAGCCCAAACACCAGGAAAGGCCCCAAATATCCACACGTGGCCTCTTCCTGTTCCTCATTCCCTCAGAACTGGGTGGGAAAGGCCTTGGAGAAGCCTTGGAATGAGATTTGCTCCCAGAGGAACTTTTTGATCCCAGTGGGAATCATCCGGGTGGATTTGGTACTTCCCGGCTGGATGAGAATCCAGGATTGTTAGAGCTGGAAATGGAAAGGGGCTGAAGTTTCCTTCCTGGAAAGAGAGGAATTAGCAGTGGGAATGTTAATGGGAATTGTGTTCTCTCCCTGCAGCCGGCTGTTCATCACATCCCTGGATTTGAGGTAATTCCCGACTCCTCCTTGCAAATCCAGCGCCATTCCCAGCTTTCCCAGGGATCTGGAGCCCGTTTCCAGCCCTGCAGCAATCCCTCCATCCTGTCTTAGGGAATTCTTTTAGGATGGAGGAGTCCTAAAGCACAGAGACTCTGATTTTCCTCAGCTGATAAGGAAAACTGGGAGTGGTGGGGCAGCTCCTTCCTGACGTAGCAAATTTATCCCATTCCAGGATCCAAAGGATCCCATGGAGATGCTGCAAAGGCTCTGGAGCCAGGCTGGGAGAGCTGGGAATGTTCCCCTGGAGAAGGGAAAATTCCAGGGAATGCTCAGAGTGCCTGGAGGGGCTCCAGGAGAGCTGGAGAGGGGCTGGGGACAAGGCCTGCAGGGACAGGAGCCAGGGAATGGCTCCCACTGGGAAAGGGGAGATTGGGCTGGGATCTTGGCAAGGAATTCCTGCCTGGGCTGCAATTCCCAGAGCAGCTGGGGCTGCTCCTGGATCCCTGGCAGTGCCCAAGGCCAGGTTGGATCCACCTGGGACAGTGGGAGGGATGGGATCCCACCCTGGGTGGGATTTAAGGATTTTTCCTCCCCAAACCATTCCATGATTCCCTTCGGATGTGAGCTCCAATTATAAACGTTGGGATGGGCTTAGGGATGAGAATTCCTCTAATTCCGTCATCTCCTCCTCTTTTCCAGAGCGAGCTCTCCTCCAGCCTGGATGAGGTGAGTCTTTGGGAATTCCTTATTTTCATCTTGGAATTGTTCAGATTTGTTTCCTTGGGAAATCCTCTTTTTCCTTGATGGGTCAAGTCGGGAGCATCAGGATTTTGGGAATGTGAGAGCCCTCTGGCCAGATGGGCTCTTCCTCGTGGCCGGGAATGTTGGGATCCATTTCCCCTCTGGAATGAGGTTGTCCCATCCTTTCAACCCGAGCGTGCCAGAGCTGGAATGCTGGGCTGTCCTCGGGAAATCCCAATTCCAAACTTTCCATAGGGAATTTGCCGTGAATCGAGGATGTGCTGGGCTGTTCCCGTTGTGCCGAAGGAAATTTTCATCCCTCGTCCTGGGAAAAAATTCAGGGATAGGTTGGATGGGGCTTGGAGCAACCTGGGGTGGTGGAAGGTTCCCTGCCCATGGAATGGGATGAGTTTTCCAACAGAAACTGTTCCGTGATTCCATCATTCCCATGATTCTGATTCCACACCCAGAATGCCAAGACTTTATCCCTGTGCATCCCATGGAGCCAATCCCAGGCCGAACCAAAAGGCGGAGCTGGGATCTTGGAAAACCCCAGGCAGGGAAAGGGAACAGCCCTTGGAATGTTGTGGTGGCCCTCGGAGCCATTAATCCCGAAATTCGGGAGATGAGCTGGGAAAGACCTGAGCCACATTCCCGGGAAAGGTTGGATTGGATGGGATAAAAATGTGTTTATTCTTTATTCCCACCCAAGATTCTTTATTCCCACCCAAGCCACCTTTCCTGGGAGCTCATCCTGCTATTCCGCATTGTCCATAACCATCTCTCTCCTCTTTTTTCCCTCCATTTCTTCCCACCGCCGGAATCCTGGGATGGGGCATTCCACAGCTCTGCATCCCTGCCCTGTTCTCGGAGGGGCTCCTCCAATGGGTATCGCTCTCCTCCCTTTCCTTCCCTTTTCCCAGAATCCAAGCAAATCCCGGCAGAGCCTCTCAGGGAGAGCAGGATTGCAGGAACCCCATCCCGACAAAATTCCTGAGGCTGCATCCCAAGGATTGGTGCCAGCTGGAGCCTCCGGTGCCCCATGGATGCTCCTGAAGGACCAGGCTGGGTCCATCCTTATCCATTTTTTTTTTTGGGAATGGCCTTTTGGGGCTAAATTCCCACTGAGCTCTGGGATTTATTTTTGGATTGCATCCCAGCTTCCGTATGAACTGGGAATCTTTTCGAGCCTTTTTTTTTTTTTGCCTCATCCGTGTTGATTTTCGCTGATCCTGGATCCAAATCCGGGTTGGAATCCGTGATCTCCAGAGCTCCCTGCCACCTGGATTCCCTCAGATTTATCCTTGTTCAACCCATCCTGGCTCCCAGCAGGATTTTCGTGGATTTGCCTTCCTCCAGCTGGCTTTGTCTGGGAATTGCCTTTTCCCACTCCCATCCTGATCCCTTCCTGCTCCCATCTCATCCCCGGCATTCCCTGCTCATTCCCACCCATTCCAACATTCCGTCCTCTGACATTCAGCTGGAATCCAGAAGAACGCCTGGAAAATCACTGGGAGAGCAGCAGGAAGGGATAAGGAAAAAAAAAAACCTGGAATGATGCAGGGTTAAAATCCACGTTGATCCTGGAGAGGATGGATGGGGCAGGAGGTCTTTCCCAAGGATTTCCCACTAGATTTGCTGAAGGATTGATCTCTAAAATCCCTTCCAACCCAAACCATTCCATGAATTCGGACTTGAGCAGCCTGAAATGAGTTTTTTTGGGAATTAGATTTTCAGAGGTAACCCGGGGAATGTGGGAATTCTCTGCAGCTCTCCCTTCCCCTTCGGTTTATCCCAGATAAAATTCCCATTCCCTGCCAGCACTAACCCATGCTGGGAGCACGTGGATCATGGGATGGAGGAGTGGCTGCTCCATGTGGGAATCCCAGGCGCTTCTTCCCACATGGAATTCCCGAAAACCTCCTTCTAACAAGCAGATGGACTCAGGAGCCAGCAATTCCCAAGGAAAATTAAAGCTTGGAATTTTATAGGAAGGAGGGTTGGAATTGGATGATCCTTAGGGCCCTTTCCAACCCCAACCATTCCATGATTCCATGTGGAAAATCCCTTTGGAGAACCAATCCCTCACCCAATCCCGTAATTAAAACACGCCCACACGTCATTGAATCCAATAAAATTCCATCTGGGAGAGAATTCCATGCTCCTGGCGAGGATTTCCAGAGGTTTTGCTTTCATTGCGGCCTTTCTGGGGGCTCTGGGAGATGCAGGAAAGGAAAAAGGGAGGAATTCTGGCTCCCACTCTCCTCCTCCGGAAAGGCAAATTGGGAATTCCTCGGCCGCCTCCCAGGTTTGGGATGATCTCAGTGGAATTCCCAGGTGGTTTCACCCGAGCCTATCCCATGGATTTCTGGATTATCTATGAAGTGTGGGATGAACCACAGCCCCTTCCCAGATCCAGAGGCGTTGCCAATTCCCCATCCCACGGTGCTGCTCCCACTAAATTTTTTGGGACTCGCTCAACTACAAACCCGCCGCTGCTGCTTTATCCCTTTCCTCATCCCACCGTGATCCCAGGCTGGGATAGAGGTGGTTCCACCCCATCATTCCCTAAAAAAGGTCTAACCTTGGAGGGCAGATCCCTGGGAAAAGCTCAGGAATGCTTGATCTTCTCCAGGATGGATTAAAGAGATGGAACCACTTTTCCGGCACCTCCATCCTGCCATTCCTCCCCTCTCTCCTCCGGCTGTCCTGGATTTCCTGGGAGAGATCAGTTTGGCAAGGACGGAGATTCCGGGTGGATCCAGCCTGGAAAGGGGTTGGATGTCCCATCCTGGCGCTTCCTGACGTTTTCCTTTCCCTCTCCGCTCCCGCAGTCCGCGGATTCCGACCTTCCCTACCCGCCGCCGCAGCGGGAGCCCAACGTTTACATGGTCCCGCAGGGAATCAAACCCGTCCTGCAGCGCACGGCCATCGAGGTGAGCCGCGGGTCCGGGAACGGCCGCCGGGAATGGGATCCAAGATGGATTCTGGAAAAAAAAAAAAAAAAAGAAAAAAAAAAAAAAAAAAAAAAAAAAAAAAAAAAAAAAAGAAAAAAGAGGCTCCAGGGGGAACTTCTGGCTCCTCACAATTCCCTGACAGGAAGGGGGAGCCGAGGGTGTTGGGGTCTGCTCCCAGGGAAGCAGGGATGGGATAAGGATGAAGGTCAGGGAACAAGGGGTGGAGTAAGGATGAAGTTCATGGAATGAAGGATAGGATAAGGATAAGGATAGAGATGAAGTTCGGGGAATGAGGGATGGGATGAGGATGAAGTTCAGGGAACAAGGGACTGGATAAGGATGAAGTTCAGGGGAGGGGGCATGGGATAAGGATGAAGTTCAGGGAATGAGGGGTGGGATAAGGATGAAGTTCAGGGAATTAAGAATGGGAGAAGGATAAGGATGAAGGTCAGGGAACAAGGGATGGGGTAAGGATAAAGATGAAGTTCGGGGAATGAGGGATGGGATAAGGATGAAGTTCAGGGAATGAGGGGTGGGATAAGGATGAAGTTCAGGGGAGGGGGCATGGGATAAGGATGAAGTTCAGGGAATGAGGAATAGGAGAAGGATGATGTTCAGGAAACAAGGACTGGGATAAGGATGAAATTCAGGGAACGAGGGATAGGATAAGGATAAGGATGAAGTTCAGGGAACAAGGAATGGGATAAGGATGAAACTCAGAGAATGAGGGATGGGATAAGGATGAAGTTCAGGTTGGATTGCAGGAGGAATTTCCTCATGGAAAGGGTGGTCAGGCATTGGAAATGCCCAGGGAGCTTTGCAATTCCCATCCCCCTGGAAGTGTCCAAGGAAATCCTGGTGCCAAGGTGGGGATCGGTCATGGGTTAAACTCAGTGACCTTGGAGATCTTTTCCAACCTCAAGGATTCCATAATTCCCACCACTGCTTGTCCTGCATGGTTGAATTTCCAAGTTCTCCTCCACTGCCGAGGAGCTCCATGGAAGCCTGGAAGCAGAGCTTTGCCTCAGGATTTGGTGTCCTCCCCTCATCCCACAGGTCCTGGCCTGGGGCCTGAGGAACCTCAAGAGCTTCCAGCTGGCCAGCGTGACCTCGCCCAGCCTGCTGGTGGAGTGCGGGGGGCAGCGCGTCCAGTCCGGCGTCATCAAGAACGTCAAGAAGAACCCCAACTTCGACGTCTGCGTGCTCTTCATGGAAGTGGTGAGGTCCCAGCGGGACTGGGGTGGTGCAGGGGGAAGGGGAGGGCCTCAAAAGTGGGGTGAAGTTCCTTAAAATCCTGTACAAAAGGGATCTGGTGAAGGACCTCAAAGTCACATAAAGGTGGACCTTGTGAAGGGCCTGGAGGTCCCGTAAAAATGGATCTTAGGGTGAAGGACCTCAAAGTTCCATAAAAATGTGTCTTGTGAAGGACCTAGAAGATCCATAAAATAGGGTCCTGTTACGAAGGATCTGGAGGTCCCATAAAATTGGATCTTATGGCGAAGGACCTCAAAGTCCCCTAAAAATGGATCTTGTAGTGGAGGACCTCAAAGGCCCATAAAATATATATTTTGTGAAGAACCTCAAAGTCCCATGAAAATAAATCATTTGAAGGGTTTGGAGGTCCCATAAAAATGGATCTCGTGCAGAAGGACCTGGAGGTCCCATAAAATTGGATCTTGTGGTGAAGGACCTCAAAATCCCATAAAAGGAGATCTTGTGCTGAAGGACCTTGAAGTCCCATAAAAGTGGATCTTGTCAAGGACAGTCCTGTAAAAATGGATTTTATGGTGAAGCACCTTAAAATTCCCAAAAAAATGGATCTGGTGAAAGATCTTAGAACCCCGTAAAAATGAACCATGTGGAAGTGTCATAAAATTAGTTCTTCTGGTGAAGGACCTCAAATTTCCATAAAAATGGTTCTTCTGGTGAAGTTCCTTCTTCCCTTGGTTTTTTTGGGGATGGTGCAGAACCTCTGCCCTCCCTTTCCGGCCTCATTCCATCTTCCCTTCCCTCTTCCCACAGCGTCTGCCCAAGGAGAGCCTCTACAGCCCCCCCATCATCCTGAAGATCATCGACAACCGCCCCTTCGGCCGGAGACCCGTGGTGGGACAGTGCACGATCCGCTCCCTCCAGGAATTCTACTGGGATCCCTCCCAGCAGGACACGGGGGCGCCCCAGGAGCAGCCAGGTACGTGGGAACGTTGGGATTTGTGTCCTTTATGGAATTGTGGGATGGTTGGGTTGGGAGGGAACTTAAAGATGATCCCGTTCCCACCCCATCCATGGGCAGGGACACCTCCCACTATCCCAGGTGGATCCAAGCCCCATCCAACCTGGCCTTGGGCACTGCCAGGGATCCAGGGGCAGCCCCAGCAAATCTGGGAATTCCAGCCCAGCCCCTGCCCACCCTCCCAGCCACGAATTCCTTCCCAATATTCCATTGAAATCTCCCCTCCTTCAGTTCAATCCATTCCCCCTTGTCCTGGCACTCCATGTCCTTGTCCCAAGCCCCTCTCCTGACTCCTTGGAGTCCTGGATGGGATGGGGATCGTGGGATTGGGATCTTGGAGATGAGCTTTGGGTGGTGAGAAAAGTCTGGATGAGTTTGGGATCATGGACATGAACTTTGTGTGATGGGAAGTGTCTGGGATGAGTTTGGGATCATGGAGATGAACTTTGGATGGTCTGGGATGAGTTTGGGATCATGGAGAAGAACTTTGGATGGTGAGAAATGTCTGGGATGAGTTTGGGATGGTGGAGATGAACTTTGGATGGTCTGGGATGAGTCTGGGATCGTGGAGAAGAACTTTGGATGGTGGGAAATGTCTGGGATGAGTTTGGGATCGTGGAGGTGAACTTTGGATGGTCTGAGGGGTCCGGGTGAGATTGGGATCATGGAGGTGGGGTCTGGGAGAAACCGGGATCACTGCTGGAGGTCAATCCCACGGTTTCTGGGCTCTGGGATTCCCAAATCCTGGGATCCCAGCGCTGCCCCGCTCCGGTTGCAGATGACGTCAGCCTCACGCCCAGGGACGACGTCCTCATCGACATCGATGACAAAGAGCCCCTGATCCCCATCCAGGTACGGAAAACGCGCTGGGAAGATCCCGGATTCTTTCCGCGCTCCGGTGGATGTGGTGAGGGTGGATCCAAGGTGCCAACGTGAGGCTGGGTCCGCTTGGTTCCATCCTTTTCCAACTTTCACGTGTTTTTCCTTCCTCTCTTCACCTGCACAACCCCAAACTCCTCCTCATTCCCTCTCTTGGGAATGAGGGACTGGATTTGCTCTCCTGATGGAGAGAAATCCATGCCAGGTTCTTCCCAAGGAAAGCAAAAATTCCCAGAGGCTCCGCCATCCTCGCTCCATGACCGGGTCTCCTTTTCCCAGTTTGGCTCCTGGTTTGCAGGAATTTTGCTGGACTGGGATTGCGGAATCCCCAGTCCCAAATCCATGGTGGTGGGAATGGGGATTGGTGCCGTTCCAATGATTTTGAGGGATCTCAGCATTCCCTTGGGAATAGATCAGGATGCACACACCCCTGGAGCTTCCATTCTTCCAGAAACTTCCTGTATCCGCAGTCCTCGGATTCCTTCTCCAGCAGAAGGAATCTTTGGGACAGACCTGTGCTGAGCTGTGAGTGGGATGTGCGGATCCCGAGGTGATCCCAGTGCCTCTGGAGCAGCTGGGAATGGTGTCAGGAATGTTTGGTGGAGCTTTTCCCAGTCTCCCATCCCTTGGTGGGATATCAAGGGCTGGAATTTCCCTTCTCCCTATTCCCAGGTGCCACAGGGCTGGAAAAGCTGGAGTTTCTGGAAGGAATCAGCTTTCCAGGTGTTCCCTGCCTCAGTTTCCCTGGCCTTGAGCAATTCCAGGGATGGAGGAGCTGCTGAATCCAAGATGTCCAACTTGGGCATGGATCCCGCTCTTTATCCACGTCCTTGGTGGCTCCTGGGGGTTTCTGTTCCCAAGGATTTTCTGGTGCTTTTGGATATTTGTGGTGCATCCCAAGCCAAGCTCGAGCTGGGTCCCACATCAAGCTGGGAATCCGGAATTTGGCTAATTCCCCCCTCCAAAAAAATGGATGTGGCCCTGCTCATTCCCACTCATTCCAAATGCTCATCCCTGGAAGTGTCCAAGGTCAGGTTGGATGGAGCTTGGAGAAATCCGGGATAGTGGGAGGTGTCCCTGCCCATGGAAAATGTGGAATGGGATGAGATTTGAGATCCTTCCCACCCAAATCATTCCATGGTTCCGTGATCCTGTTCACAGCTCCGTTGGGATCTTGTCCTGAAATTCTTCAGCCTGCACTGGGAATGGGACAGGAGAATTGGGAAAAGTTGGCTCCAGTGTATAAGTGTGGAAAGGGAAAAGCAGCTCCCGAAAATGCTCCTGATTGGAGCATTGGGAAATTGGGAAAGCAGCCTCATTCCCCCCTTTTCACTTCCCATTTAAGGATTTATCCTTAAAAATTACAGCTGGGCTTCATTTTTTATCAGGGGAGTAACTGGAGCATGTCCGTGGAAAACATGGAATTTGGGAACGGGATTTTTTCTAATCAAATCCCCCTTTTTAAAGTTCAGGACAGAGAAACTTGGGGAGAAAACTTGGAAGGGAATAATGTGGGAATCTGTGGGATTCCAACTTGAGATGTGGAGCTCGATCCCAGTTTTCCATGACCTGGATCTGGGGTTTCCCATGATCTGGAATCGGGATTTCCCATGATCCAGTGCAGGAAGTGCTTGGGCATTCCCACTGGTGGGATTCCCAGTTTGTCCCATTTTTCCGAGTGATCAGGATGAGGGGAACGCCCTGGGATGTCCAGAGTGGGATTGGCCGTGCCCGCGAATCCCTGCAATCCTCTGCTCAGATTTCCATGATTTATCCATGGAAAACCATGCTGGTGGAAAACCTGCTCCCTTTTTTTTTTTCCTTTGGGAATAAAACCTCTGGATAGGGACTCGCCTCCCTGAGCTGCTCCCAGGAATATGGGATCCCATCCCAAAGATTCCAGAAGAAGGAATGAGGTGGAGCTTTGGAATCCTGGAGCTTTGTTCCCTGGGATAATTTTATTGGAAACATCCTCCAAGCTCGGATCAAATTTAGGGGAGAGTTTAAACAGTAGGAAAAAGGGAAGAGGAATGCGACAAAACCATTCCAAAGTGGAAAATTCTGGCATTTTTTTTCCTGGGAAAAAACATTTCCCAAACAATCCCCCTGCCACCAATGGAGTTTTCCAGTTTGACCCCAGATTCGTCCTTCTCCATTTGTTTCTTTCCTTGTTTTTCCCGTTATTTCGGGAAAGGAGGGAGCTGCTCCCTGGAAAGCCAACCCAAAATTCCCACCTGGGAATTTTGGCCCTGGAAGCTGCTCCTCTCCTGGAGGTGGACACGGATTGAGGTGTGGATGGACCATTGGGATCGTTCCGCCCATCCCGGGCCAGATTTGGCAGGTCAAGGAGCAATCCCGGCCCGCAGGGACCATCCTGCTCCGCTTTCCCGGGAAAAGGGATGGATCCCAGGCCAGCAGCTCGTGCTCGGGGCTCTTTGGAAGCGGGAGCCAGGATTTTTCATGGATGCGTTTCTGTGTGTGGCTCTGGAGTTTTGCTCCCTCCTTGCCAAGCCTGGCTTTGGTCCCTGCTCCGAAGGATGGTTGGAACAAAGGATCCCTTTGTTGCTTTCCCTGGAAAATCGGGAAAACAACCAGAGGTGAAATCCCTCTGCTCCAAGGTTTGGGAGCGCGTTATCCATCTCATCTGAGTGGGATCAGGAGTTCAGCTGGAGTTTAAAACCAGTTTGAGTGCACGGGAACCACATCTCGATCACCCAAAGCCAGGAAAATCCTAAAAAAATCATGGAAAAGCAATTTTTCCCAGCTAATCCTGTCTAGGCTGGTTCTTTGGGATAAGGACATGGAGCGGGGTTTTGGAAAGGTGGAATTTGTGGAAGAGGCCGCTGGATCAGGCGTTGTCCTCCCTGCTCTGCTCCCGGTGTTTTCCAAGGGTTCATCCCCATGGGAGGAGGCTCGGGAAGGGCTTCCACAGCTCCATGGGATTTGTTCTGTCTGCTCACGGATAAACCAGCTGGAACGGAGCTGGTTCCCAGTTCCCAGAGCCACGAGGAAATCCTGGTGGAGAATGATCCTCAGGGAGCGTTTTCCCTATGGAATGTTTTCCCTATGTGAATCCTGGTGGAAAATGATTCTCAGGGAATGTTTTCCCTGGAAATTGTGGAGTTCGGCCCAAGGATGCCAGTCTGGATCTGCTGGGATCGGAGCAGGGTTTTGGGAACAAGCCTGAGCTGGATAACCGGGAATGCTGTCGGGATTGGCCTGATCCTCAATCCTGGCTGTTTTCTGGGAAGAACCTCTCATTCCTCCCCCCTTTTCCACTTCCAAGGGATCCTTGGAATCCTGGAGCAGCGCTGCTGCTTCCTGCTCAGGGAAGGGATCCTGGGTTTTGGTTTGCCCAGGATGAGCTGGGCTTGGACCTGGGCTTTGATCCTGAGCGTTCCCAATCCCATTCTAAATCCCCCTGGCTCAGATCCCTCCCTGGATTCCGGGATAACTCCTTGAGTTTGCAGCCCACGGTATCCAGGGAAAAGCCTTTCCTCCACTGGGAATTACTAACAGCTTTTCCATATTTTCCCCCCTTTAATATCCCATTTTTTCCTCTACCTCATTCCAGCTGTTTGCCGAACATCCCTGAAAACAAACCCTGCGCTCATCCCAAACTTGCCTCATCCTGGGAAACCCCAGGTTTGGGAATATCAGTTTGGATTAATCCCATTAATTGTTGCTTTTGCTGCTGCGTGTTCATCCCGGTTCCCGGAATTCCTTGGATAACGGATCATTTTAATTTGTAGCTTCCCGAGGGTTTGACGAGCTCAGCACTAATTAACATCCCGGATTCCCGGGCCCTGCCTCATGTAGGTATCGCTTCCTTTCTAATTGCTAAATAATTGCTTGATTAATTAATCGCTTAATTAATGACCTGAGTCCATGAGGATACGCGGATAGAGCCGGAAGGAGGCGTTTTCCTTTGGGAATGATCCCGCTTGCTGCTTAGGAAAATGGCAATTCCAGCTGGCTGCCCCTGTGTCCTTGGGTTTTCCATTAATTCCAAAGGGAATGAGGGGGGGGTTTTGAAGGAATTCCGTCCCCAGCTCGGGTATCCCAGCACTGGAAGGACATGGAAATCAGGGAGTAATCCAGAGGTGGGGCCAGGATGGTCAGAGGGATGGAGCAGCTCTGCTGGGAGGAAAAGCCAGGAGAGCTGGGAATGTTCCCCTGGAGAAGGGAAAAATCCAGGGAATCCTCAGAGTGCCTGCAGGGGCTCCAGGAGAGCTGCAGAGGGGCTGGGGCCAAGGCCTGCAGGGACAGGAGCCAGGGAATGGCTCCCACTGGGAAAGGGGAGATTGGGCTGGGATCTTGGCAAGGAATTCCTGCCTGGGCTGCAATTCCCAGATTTGCTGGGGCTGCCCCTGGATCCCTGGCAGTGCCCAAGGCCAGGTTGGATCCACCTGGGACAGTGGGAGGTGTCCCTGCCCATGGATGGGGTGGAATGGGATGGGATTTGAGGATCCCTTCCCTTTCCCTGCTCTCTTTTTGTCTGTTCCATGAGAAAAGCAGATGTTGGGATTTTCCTGGGTTTTGTAGGGAGGGCAGTGGGGATGCTTTGCCTCCTCAGGGATAATGCTCCAGAGGAGCAATTCCCTTCATACCAAATTCATCCTGATCAGATTCCCCATGGAATCCTGGAATGGTTTGGGTTGGAAGAACCTTAAATCCCATCCCATTCCACAATTTCCATGGGCAGGGACACCTCACACTATCCCAGGTGGATCCAAGCCCATTCCAACCTGGCCTTGGACAGTTCCAGGAATCTGAATATTGTCCAATGGATGGATTCCTCTGTTCCAGAGAGGTGGCAGTTCTGGGATCCCAGCTATGGGAACAAAAATTCCTGAAATAACCCCCTCATCCCACTGTCCATCCACATTTTTAATTTCCATGGATTTGTTTTTTGTTTAGGACAAAGAAAATCCAGGAGAAAAAAAAACCCAAAAAAGAGGGAAAAGCTACCAAGCATAAATTTAAAATCAAACTATGGGAATATTAGGCGGGAATAAACCATCCCATTGTCCCGGTTCTTACAGGATTCTCCAGGAATGGGGGTCAATGTGATAAATGCCAGTTTGCACAAAGATGGGAATGTTTCCTTGGGAAAACCATCCGGTTTGGAAAACTGGGTTCCCATCTTCCTTCCCGGCTCCTTCTCCTTTGTGGCTCAGGAGCTCTGCACAAAAGCCGGAGCTGGGAATGAGGCCCAGGGGCTGCAGCTGGGGAAATCTTGGAAAAAAGCGTTTCCAGCCAAAAAAATGCAGCTCCGTGCGGAGCGTGTGAGGGAGGTCCTGGATTTCACCGGGATCTGCCTCGGGCTGGGGCGTTAATGAGGAGAGGGAAGAGTTTAAAGTGCCAGAGGGCAGGGATGGGTGGGATATTGGGATGGGATTCTGTCCTGGGAGGGTGGGCAGGGGCTGGGCTGGAACTCCCAGATTTGCTGGGGCTGCCCCTGGATCCCTGGCAGTGCCCAAGGCCAGGTTGGACATTGGGGCTTGGATCCATCTGGGACAGTGGGAGGTGCCCCTGAACATGGATGGGGTGGGAATGGGATGAGATTTTAGGTCCCTTCCACCCCAAAACATTCCAGGATTCTGGAGCCCCTCTGCTCTGGGAGAGCTGGGAATGCTCCCCTGGAGAAAACTCTAGGGAATCCTCAGAGTCCCTGCAGGGGCTCCAGGAGAGCTGGAGAGGGGCTGGGGACAAGGCCTGCAGGGACAGGAGCCAGGGAATGGCTCCCACTGGGAAAGGGGAGATTGGGCTGGGATCTTGGCAAGGAATTCCTGCCTGGGCTGGAATTCCCAGATTTGCTGGGGCTGCCCCTGGATCCCTGGCAGTGCCCAAGGCCCGGTTGGATCCACCTGGGATGGTGGGAGCTGTCCCTGCCTGTGGAAAGGGATGCGCTTTCAGGTACCCTTCCCATTCCATGATTCCATAATTCCACCTGATTCCTGTGCACCTCCCAGAGGAGAGGAGCTCAGAATGGACTCTCAGACTCCTCTGCTCCTCCATTCCCTGCCTGGGAGCCCTACAACGCAGTTACTCTGCCGTTACTCCGCTGTTACTCCAGCTCATGCCGCTTTCCAGATCCCCCGTCCCAGGACACGTTAACGGAGCCCAGCAGAGCCAATTCCAGCTAATCCATGTCTGTAAACTATTTGGGATAATTGGTTGTTTGCTGTGTTTGCTCCTTCCAAATCCAAGCCCACATTTCACGGCTTCTCCGGTTACCGCTCCTTGGAAGGGCTCTGGGTGTTGGATGGCTCCTCCTGGGAATGGTTCCCATCCCAGCGCTGCCCCCCTCGGAATGTTCCTGATGGTTTCAATATTCCCAGCTGGGAGCCAGCCCATGGCACTGCCACCGGGGAGGGGGGCAAATATTCCCAGAGAAAAGTCCAGGATTTCCACAGCCGGAGTTTGTAGGATCATGGAATGGTTTGGGTGGGAAGGGAGCTTAAATCCCATTCCATGGGCAGGGACACCTCCCACTATCCCAGGTGGATCCAAGTCCATCCAACCCAGCCTTGGGCACTGCCAGGGATCCAGGGGCAGCCCCAGCAAATCTGGGAATTCCAGCCCAGGCAGGAATTCCTTGCCAAGATCCCAGCCCAATCTCCCCTTTCCCAGTGGGAGCCATTCCCTGGCTCCTGTCCCTGCAGGCCTTGTCCCCAGCCCCTCTGCAGCTCTCCTGGAGCCCCTGCAGGCACTCTGAGGATTCCCTGGAGTTTTCCCTTCTCCAGGGGAACATTCCCAGCTCTCCTAGAACAAAAGAGCTCCAGAATCCTGGGATGGTTTGGGTTGGAAGTGACCTTAAATCCCATCCCATTCCCACCCCATCCATGGCAGGGACACCTCCCTTTATCCCAGGTGGATCCAAGCCCCAGTGTCCAACCTGGCCTTGGGCACTGCCAGGGATCCAGGGGCAGCCCCAGCAAATCTGGGAATTCCATCCCACCCCTTCCCCACCCTCCCAGCCAGGAATTTTTTCCATAAAGGAGAAATTCTCCTTCCTCCAGCCCTGCTTTGTTCCCAGAGCTGCTGCAGCTCCTGGGATGATGGGATTGGGTGAAACGATCCCGTTATTCCCATGATATCCGAATGACAGGTCCCTCCTGGGAAAAAGGTTGGAGTTCCAGGGCGGTGAGAGGGAAGAGGGATGGAACAGGGATGGGGAGACAGGAAAACTGGATAATCATGGCAGAAGCTTTCCAGGTGGGAATAAGCTCATTTTCCAGGAAATTTCCAGGGTTTGGTCCCTTGAGGTTAAATTTATCCACAAGGGATTCTCGCCTGGGGGTTGTGCCCAGTGGGATCCTCTGCAAAGGGGGCAGAGATCCCGATCCCAACGATCCATCTGTGCCATGGAAAAACCCCTGGAGGTGGTTTGGGATGCCTGGAGGGAATTGCATCCATCCCCTGGATAAACGAAATTCCTCAATCCATCCTTTGCCGCTCCATTGCTTTCCATGGCTTTTCCGTTCCCCAATGGAATCATATCCATCACCATTAACATTCCAGCTGCTCCTCATCCCTCTCTTTTGTGTTTTCCCTGTTTTTCATTGGAATATCGGTCAAAATCCAACAAAATCTCTAATCCAGCTCTTTCCCTTGGGGCTGCAGAGGATCCCGTGGGTAAGTCCTGGGATGAATCCAAGCGTTTTCCTTGTATCCCAATACCTGCGGAATGTCAGGATGTCCGAATGGAGCCCTTGAAACAATAAAATGGGAAGGGACAAAAGGAAAATTGGGATTTCCCCTCCCGAAAAAAAAAGGAGGTGGCGGAAGCCTCTGAGTGAATTTCCAGAATATTCCAATTAAATCCAATGTCTATCCATTAAATCCCATGCTGTTGGCTTCAAATATAAATCCAATAAAACTCCATTTGGAATTCTCTGTGAGGTCACCGAGCTGGAATTCTGCGGCCTCCTAAAAGGAGACACCAGGATTTTCCAGGAATTTTTCACGGATTGCCGGCAAAGCGGTCTCAAAAACGGGATTCCTATAAAATCCATGGAATATTGAGCCCACATGGTCCGGTTTTCCTCCTGGAATGGTTTGCACTGGGAATGAGGGAATGGGAATTGGTGAGAGCTGAAGTTTTGTGGGATTTTCCCAGTTTTTTTCTTCCAAGGGTTGTGCTGTTCCGGAGACCTGAGCGCCATTAGGTTTTAATGGAAAGATGGGAATTGTATGGATTTATTAATTTATCCACAGGTTTTGTTGGGATGGGGAGCTTGGGAGGTGTTGGGATACAACCAGGAGGTCAATCCCTGTCTCCCAAATCCCAAAGTTTCCAGGAAAAGCCTAAAATTGGGGCATTTCAAGCTGTTAACACTGGAGTTAAATTGGTTTATTCCCTGCATGGAAATTCTGGGAAAACCCCCTCCGAGTGGCCAAAAATTCCCTAAAAATGCTCCAAATTCTTGGAATATTCTTCTTGGAGCTCTACCTCATTTCCCTATGAGGAATAATCCTCTTGGGAATATCCACAGTGGCTGTAACACCCAGATTTGGGCTGGGAGCATCCCAAAAAAAACCCGGAAATCAGGGATGGAGTTGATGCAGGCCTCACTTGCCAAATCGGGGAGCTGCTGCTGTTTTCCGGGGATTTTTTTTCCTGTGGAAAATGAGTAACTTTGGGATCTCTGGCTGCAGGAGGAGGAATTCATCGACTGGTGGAGCAAATTTTACGCTTCCACGGGAGAGAGGGAAAAATGTGGATATTACTTGGAAAAGGGATTTGACACCTTGAAGGTGAGTGACCTCCGTTGGGTGTGGATCCTTGGAATCCCCCTCTCCACAATATCTTTGGGATTTTTGGCTTTTTTTCCATCTGGTCTCGAAAAAACCAAAACATTTTCCCCAGGTGAGGGAAACTACGTTTCCTTTGGAAAAGCCTTTTGGGAAACTTCCAGAAATTTTCCCTTGGGAAGTGGCAGAGGGGGTGGGGAACTGCCACCCTGGGAAGGGTTTGGGAATGAGGAAAATCAGGGATTTCTCAGGGAAGAGGGAGATTTAGGCACAAGAAATGCTAAATTTAGCACAAACTCACAAATAGGGAAGATTTTCCTTGGTTTTAAGGAAAATATTCCCGGCTGGAAGATCTCCATCCATGAAAAATCCACCAGGAGACCTTGGCTTTGTCTGAGTCATTGGGATAGGTTGGAATTATTGTGGGATTCCCAAATTTCTCCTCTTCTCACTGCCCCAGAGAGAAATAAGGGCAAAAATTCCCAGAAATTTCTCCCCATGGGATGAATTTTCCCAGGATTGAAGAATTTTGGTTGGAATTTTTTTCCCCACAATCCATCTTTTCCTCCCCAGGTCTACGAGACGGAGCTGGAAAACGTTGAGGAATTTGAGCATCTCTCCGACTTCTGCCACACCTTCAAACTGTTCCGGGGGAGATCCCAGGATTCCAGCGACGACCCCTCGGTGGTGGGGGAATTCAAGGTGGGATGGGCCCCCTCCCCATGGATTGTGTCCGTAGGGGTGGGAATTTTGGGATCCTTAAAGTCCTTCTCAGCCCGAGTCGTTCCGTGAGCCCAGGAATTGTGGGAGTTGTGGAATCCTCGTCCATGGGAGCGGCCAAGGCTGCTTGGGAGGGGCTTGGAGCAACCTGGGACAGTGGGAGGTGTCCCTGCCTGTGGAAAGGGTGGGAATGGGATGGGATTTAAGGTCACTTCCCACCCAAACCATTCCAGGATTCTGGAGCTGCTCTGCTCTGCAGCCAGGGTGGGAAAGCTGGGAATGTCCAGCTTGGAAAAGAGAAGGATCTGGGATGAATTTTGAGCCCCTTGCAGGGCCTGGAGGGGCTCCAGGAGAGCTGGAATTTGGGACAAGGCCTGCAGGGACAGGAGCCAGGGAATGGCTCCCACTGGGAAAGGGGAGATGGGGCTGGGATCTTGGCAAGGAATTCCTGCCTGGGCTGGAATTCCCAGATTTGCTGGGGCTGCCTCTGGATCCCTGGCAGTGCCCAAGGCCAGGTTGGGGTGGTCTTGGATTCACCTGGGATCAGGGATGTGTCCCTGCCCATGGGAATGGGCTGAGCTTTCAGCTCCCTTCCCACCCAAACCATTCCATGATTCCATGATTCATTCCGGCGATTCCAAGCCTGCTCCCATCTCCATGTGTTCCTCCCTGAGTTCCCGTGTCCTTTCCAGGGTTCCTTCAGGATTTACCCTCTCCCTGATGATCCGCGCGTTCCGATGCCTCCCCGGCAATTCCAGCAGCTCCCGGCCAGAGGACTCCAGGAATGTCTGGTCCGGGTTTACATCATCCGCGCCTTCGACCTCCAGCCCAAGGATTCCAATGGGAAGGTATCCCGGTGGGAAAGCTCGGAGTTGGCTCCTGTAGCGGATTCTTGGGACAGCTCAGCCCTTTTTGGTCAAAATTGGGTCAAAATTTACAGATTTGCCCTAAAATTTAGGAATTTGTTCCTGTTTTCTGCCCCCCATGAAATATCTGGGAAGTCAGGGAGGCAACTCTTCCTTTGTCTGTTGGGATTTTTCAGGATTATTTTCATGAGTTTTGGGTTTGGTTTTATTTTGGGGTTTGTTTTTTTTTTTTTTGGTGTTTTGGTGCTGAAGGGAATAAAATCCCGTTTTCCCCAAAATTCCTTCTTGCAAAGGTTTTGCTGGTCTGGAGGGGAAATTCTGGGAAAATGGGAATTGTGTAGGTCCAAAACTCCCCAAAACTCAGGGAAGGGAAAAATCTTTTTTAATTATCTTGGTTCCACTGGAAAAGGGAGAAATTTGAGGAATAGCAGTGGGAAATATATGAGGAAATACCTAGGAAAGATAGATGGGAAAATAGTAAATACACGTGGAAAATTTATGGAAAAATAATTAATAGATATGAAAAGATATAGAAAATATATGGAAAAAAACATATGAAAAAAACATATGAAATGTGGGAAGTATATATGGAATACGTGGAAAAATAGATGCAGAAATTCCAACCACTTTTGAATTTTCCCTGGTTTTTTTTAAGTGGATTTGGAATGGAAGTGTTTAATTCCTAAGAAATCCTCCATGAGTAATTCCCGAGGATTAAAAAGAAGAAAAAAAAAAAAAAGGGAGTTTGTCCATTTAAAACCCCAAACCAACCCAAATTTGGTCCCAAATTTCCCCAGGGATGGGAATTTTACAGAGGCTCATCCCAGTCCAATACCTGGGTGCCCATTCCATTCCCTGAGTGCTGTTTCCCATCCATTCCTTAAAAAACAAATCAGCAGGAACAGGAAAATCCTGGAGAAGTGATGAGAAGACTTGGCCTGGGCGTTTTTTCCAGGGAATTCTTGGATGTGGCTGGGATGGTGGATCCCTGTAGATCCAGGTGAAATCTTTTAGGTGGAATTGGATCTTTCCCTTGAATTTTTTTCCTTCTCCTGCCAAAAAACCCAACTTGAATTAAATCCCCCACTTTCCAAGCTGATGCCAAATTCCCAGAATAATTTTACTTGAGAGACGGATGGGATTTGGAACAACCTATGGAAAAGGGTAGGACTGGAATTGGAATCCCATGGGATTTTTGTGGTTTCTTTCCGTGCCCACCTCCAGTGTGATCCCTACGTGAAGATTTCCGTGGGAAAGAAATCCATAAATGACCAGGAGAATTACCTTCCCTGCACTCTGGAGCCTGTCTTTGGGAAGTAAGTATGGATTCCATTCGGGATCCACGGAATTTCTTGGGTGTCCTGTTGAGGGAATTGTGCTGGGCCAACATTCCCATTCCATTCCAACACCCAGTTCCAGGTTGGAGCAACCTGGGATAGTGGGAAGCGTTCCCTGCGCATGGCAGGGATTGGGAATGGGTGGATTTTAAGGTTTTTTTCCCATCCCAATCTATTCCATGATTCCCTTGGCTCTCATTCATCAATCCCTGAGATTTCTGAGCTGTGGACTGGGGAGCTGGAATTCCGTAGCGGAGGAATCGGGATCATCCCATTGATGGGAAGCAGTTTGGAGAATTTCTCCTCATCCAGGAATTTTGATCCAATGTCTGAGGGAAAAATGTGAGGAATGGGGAGGAATGGGACACCTCCACATGTTCTGGAAAAAGGTTGTCCATGGATAATTGAGTTGTTTCCCTCAGAAATTGGATAAAATTCCAAGGAAAATGGGACCAGGGAATGGCTGGAGCTGCTCCAGGGGGGGTTAGGTTGGATATCAGGAAAAGATTCCTCATCCGGAGGGTGGTGGGGCACTGGAACAGCTCCCCAGGGAATGGTCGCATTCCTAAGGCTGCCAGAACTCCAGGAGCATTTGGACAATGTTCCCAGGGACAGGGTGGATTGTTGGGATTGTCCTGGGAAGGAGTCGGATTGATGATCCTTCAGGGATCTTGTCCAACCCAGGCCATTCCACGATTCTCTGATTTTCTGGGAGAAGAAAGCCCCGTGGAGTTGGGCTTCCCTCAGTTTCCCTGCTCCTTTTCCAGCTGCCCCTGGATCCCTGGCAGTGTCCAAGGCCAGGTTGGACGCTGTGGCTTGGATCCACCTGGGATCAGGGAAGGTGTGGAATGAGGTCATTAAGGTGTCTCCCGATCCAAACCCATTCCATAGTTCCATGATAAACGAAGCCAGCGCAACACAGCCCTGGCCTGGCTGGCTCAAGGTGACGCAGAAGCTCAGGGAGGGACTCTGATCCATCCCATCACCGGCGGGGTTGGGATGGGGCGTGGATCCATTCCCATGGAATTCCAGCACAGCACCATCCCCTTTTCCCGAGCACTTCCCTGTTCCCGTTTCCAGGATGTTTGAGCTGAGCTGCACCCTGCCCCTGGAGAAGGACCTCAAGGTCACCCTCTACGACTACGACCTCCTGTCCAAGGACGAGAAGATCGGCGAGACCGTCATCGACCTGGAGAATCGCTTCCTGTCCAAATACGGCGCTCGCTGCGGCCTCCCCCAGACCTACTGCGTGTGCGTTCCTCCCTGGGCTTGGGATCTCCAGGAATGCCGGGATTGGGATGCTGAGGGGGCCACAGGATCACAGCAGGGCTGTCCTGGGGGAGACCTGGATGAAGCTGCGCTGCCCAGAGTCCTGGTTCTCCTCCAGGGAGATCCTGCTCCAACCCCTGGTGGCTCCTGGTGACCTCGTGCTGAGGACACCCCCAGAGATGTGGCTGTCCCATCCCAGGAGTGGGAGATCAGGCTGGGATCTTGGGAAGGAATTCCTGGCTGGGCTGGAATTCCCAGATTTGCTGGGGCTGCCCCTGGATCCCTGGCAGTGCCCAAGGCCAGGCTGGACACTGGGATTGGAGCAGCCTGGGACAGTGGGAGGTGTCCCTGAACACGGAAGGAGTGGAATGGGATGGGATTTAGGGTCACTTCCAGCCCAATCCATTCCAGGATTCTGGTGTCCCTCTAGAAGGCTGGGAGAGCTGGGAATGTCTAGTCTGGAAAAGAGAAGGATCTGGGATGACCTTTGAGCCCCTGGCAGGGCCTGGAGGGGCTCCAGGAGAGCTGGGGAGGGGCTGGGGACAAGGCCTGCAGGGACAGGAGCCAGGGAATGGCTCCCACTGGGAAAGGGGAGATTGGGCTGGGATCTTGGCAAGGAATTCCTGCCTGGGCTGGAATTCCCAGATTTGCTGGGGCTGCCCCTGGACCCCTGGCAGTGCCCAAGGCCAGGCTGGACACTGGGGCTTGGATCCCTCTGGGACAGTGGGAGGTGTCCCTGCCAACGGCACTGGATGAACTTTGATGTTTTTCCAACCCGACTCATTCCATGATTCCACAATTCCATGATTCTGTGATTCTGTTTGGTTTCAGGTCCGGCCCCAACCAGTGGCGAGACCAACTCCGCCCTTCCCAGCTGCTCCACCTCTTCTCCCTGCAGCACAACTACAAAGCTCCCACCTACAAATCCGACCGGATCATCTTCCGGGATCAGGAGTATGTCCTCTCCGAGCTGGGTAAGATGTCAGGGATGCTTTGGGATTGCAGAATTTCCTTACTCCAGAGAAAGGGATGGAGCTGGATGTCATGGAGGCATCACAAGGACTGAGTGATGGCATTGTCCCCATCCTCCTCCTCTCTGTCCGTGCTGGCTCTGAGCCATTCCCAAGCTTGCTCCAAATCCTGGGATTGAACCCAGACCTTCAATCCAGAAATTCAATTCCCAACCTTGAGCTGGACCCAACCCAGCACCCCTGGGTGGGGCTGACACTCTCCAGCCTGGTGTTCCAAGGGCATGGAGACATCATGAGGAGGGACATCATGGAGGTCAGGAGTGGGTGAGGGACATGTCCCCCTCCTCCTCCTCACTGTCCGTGCTCTGCTCTTTTCCCAAACTTGGTCGTGCCCCAAATCCTGGGATTGAATCCACACCTTCAATCCAGGAACATTGACCTTGGTTTGACCAAGCCCAGCACCCCCAGGTGGGAGCTCCAGCCTGGTGTTCCACGTGCATGGAGATGTCCCATGAAGGGTGGCATCAGCGGGAGTGGCTGATGGCATTGTCCCCATCGTCCCCTCACTGTCCACTTTGGCTCCGCCCTTTCCCCAAGGTTGTCCGTACCCCAAATCCTGGGATTGAATCCAGACCTTCAATCCAGGAGTGTTTACCTTGAATTTCTGGGCAGCTCCAAACTGATGTTCCAAGTGCATGGAGACATTGTGAGGAGCATTATGGAGGCCAGGATTGTGAAATGGATGTGTCCTCCTCCTCCTCCTCCTCCTCACTGGCCACGTTGGCTTTGGACTATTCCCAAGCTTGGTTGTGCTCCACATCCTGGGATTGGACCCAGACCTTCGATCCAGGAGCGTTGACCTTGAGTTGGACCAAACCCAACAGCCCTGGATTGGGAGGGGAAGCTCCAACCTGATGTATTCCAAGTGCTGCCAGAGCCAGGAGAGCAGCTTTTTCATTGGAATCTCATTTTGGGAATGGTCACTAGAGGGAGACAATATCCCACACACAGACCTGGGAATTCTTTCAGGATTTGGGGGAATCAGGGAACAAACCCAACTTCTACAAAGAGGAGAAAAGCCCCAGACTTTTGGGTAGGAGTTTTTTGCTTGCCCATGGCAGCTCCCTCTGACCCAACATTCCTGGGGCAGGAGGGTTTTTTTTTGGGAAAACTCTGCTTTAAGGCAGAAAAAGAGGGTTTTAGTGCCAGGAGGAGGTGAAATCCCACTGGGCCTGGCCCAGGAGCTGCAGTTTGGAATCATGGAATGGTTTAGGTTGGGATCATAAGGATGATCCCGTTCCACCCCCTCCACAGGCAGGGACACTTCCCACTGTCCCAGGTGGATCCAACCTGTCCTTGGATACTTCCAGGTATCCAGGCACAGCTACAGCTTTTCTGGGAATTCTCTTCCAGGGCCTCCCCACCCTCAGAGCCAAGAATTCCCAATATCCCACCTAAATTTTGATTGGATTTTTTAAGGCCACCCCACCCCAAGGATGTCACCAGAGACACAAAACAAGGCACAGCCCGGGGCCGATCCCTCTCCGCGCTCTTGGGAAACAAAGCACAAATCCCTGCAGGAATTCAGGCTTTTCTCCCTTCAGGAGAAGGGAAGCAAGGAATCCTTATGGAAAAGTTTTCCCGGGAGAGCTGGGGAGGTGTTAAAATGTGTCCCCCCTCCCTGTGGCAGCGCCTGCTGTCACCTTCTCCGAGTTCAAACAGCAGAACAAAGCCCGAGGCCTGACCCGGAGCAGATCTGGAATCCAGCTGTGAGCTCCGGAGCCGGACTGGGAATAAACTGGAGCCGTTAAACACGAGAGCCGGGATTTTACAAGCTCCTCCCCCCGGCCCGTTATTCCATAACTCCCAGGTTTTGTTGTTCTCCGGGAAGGGCTCGTTCTCTTCGTGGCACGTAAAGCCGCACGTGTGCGCACACGCTGGGATTCCAAGGTTTTGCAAATTGTTGGGAATTGGCCCAGGTGGCTGGAGTGAAGTGTGTCCTTGCCAAGGAGGAAGGAGCTGGGATATCTCACCAGGATTTGGTGGAGTTGGAATGGTACTTATGGAATACTTACGGAATAATTTTTATGGATCACGTTGTCTTTCACTTGTCCTGGAAGGTGCATGACCAGAGTGCGGTGAAGTCTACCAACCCCAGCCTGGGATTTTGGGGTCGTTTGGGTTGGACTCAGAGAATCAGGGAATTTTTTAAGTTGGAAAAGATCTTTAAGATTCTGAAATCCCAGAGTTAAGTTTGGACAAGACCTCCAAGATCGAGTCCAACGTTGTCCAAGTGTCATCTCCAGTTGTTCCTTGGACACCTCCAGGGGTGGGAATTTCACCTCTTCCCTGATATCCAAGGACAGGGCATCGTGTCCCATCCCAGGAATGGGATGAGGAGGCAGGAGTTGGCCATTGGCTGTACTGGATGGATGGATGGATGGATGGATGGATGGATGGATGGATGGATGGATCCTGACCAGGAACAGAAGGCAGGAATGTCCATTACTGAGGAATCTTGGCCCATCTGTGGCAGGATCAGGCGGAGCAGGTCAGGCAGAGGAGATAATTCCAGGTTTTCCTTGGATGGAGGACCACAAATATCCTGGTGGGACTGGAGCAGGGGCTTGGACCAGAGCAGGAACTTGGAACAACCCCCAGGCTGTGCTGGTGGTGTCTCCATGTCCTTCCTCCTCCTCCCATTCCCGTCTTTCCCCCGAATCCCACAGAAAAGAAATGGGATCCCACCGGGAGCTCACTCCTGTCTGCCCAGCTGAAGATCCTGGAGGGCTTTGAACTCTGGGATAAACTGTTGGGACTGGGAACATTGGCAGAGGATTGATGGGAATCCTCATTTCCAGGACTTTAGGAGAGCTGGATTCAGAAGTGGGATCAATCATTGTATTCTCCTTTCCAAGGGATCCGATTGGATCCTTGCCATGTTTCCCTGGCTGTGATTTGTGGGGTGGTTGCACAGGCGTCTCCATGGGTTTTCCCACTGGGAACGGCATCCCTGTGCCCAGCAGGGTTTGTGGTGATGGATTTGGGAATGGAGGCTGTGCTGCTCCGGCTCCTCCTGGCTGGAACCCATCCCTGTGGGATTCACTCTGCTCTCTTCCCTGTGGCAGAAGATGGAAAACCCCCGAATCCGCACCTGGGGCCGGCGGAGGAGCGGCTGGCCCTGGCCGCCCTCCGGAAGCAGGGATTGGTTCCGGAGCACGTGGAGACCCGGCGCCTTTACAGCCCCCTCCAGCCGGACATCGAGCAGGTGGGTCCTGGAATGTGGCCGGGATGAGCCCAGGATGAGCCCAGGAGTGACGTCTCCTGATCCAGCCGTATCCAGGGGCAGAATCCCGCTGGGAATGTCTGCCCTGGGATATGGGATGTTCTCAGGAAGGGGAGGTGGTTGCTCCCTTCAGCATGTGCTTCCAATTTTTTTAAAATTAAATTTACCATAATTTAGTTTAATTTAATTTAATTTTGCATTTTCGGTCTTGAAGTCCTACTCAGAATTCTTCTCCCAGAATCCCGGGATCACTGAGGTTGGAAAAGCCCTCCAAGGTCTTTGAGTCCAAGCTGTGCCCCATGCCCACCTTGGCACTGAGTGCCACATCCAGGAATTCCTTGGACACCTCCAGGGATGGGGATTCCAAACCTCCCTGGGCCCTTCCAAGGCCTGACCACCCTTTCCATGGGGAAATTCCTGCTGGTGCCCAACCTGAGCCTCCCCTGGCACAGCCTGAGGCCGTTCCCTCTTTTCCTATTATTCCCTGGGATCAGATCCCAACTCCCACCTGGTTCCAACCTTCCGGGCAGTTGTGGAAAGCCAGAAGGTTTTGCCCCTGATCCCTGTTTTTTCCAGGCCTGAGCCCCTTTCCCATCTCCCTCAGCTTTTCCTGGTGCCCCAGCCCCTTTCCCACCTCCCTCAGCTGCTCCTCAGGATTTACATCCATCAACACATTCCCAACTATCCCCCAAATAACTTCAAAATAACCTTTAATGCCCCTTTTCTATGGTGGAATCTTCCCTTCCCACTCAAGGGTCCCGGATCTCCATGGGGAGGTTCCGGTTTTCCAGTTTGGAATCTCCCAAGGTTTCAGGCTCCGTTTCTCCATGCAGGGAAAGCTCCAGATGTGGGTGGATCTGTTTCCCAAATCCCTGGGACATCCCGGCCCCCCTTTCAACGTCACTCCACGCAAAGCCAAGAGGTAACTTCCCATTTCCTTCTCATCTTTTCTTTGGAAAGGAGTTGGGAATGCTTGGAAGCGTCAGGTGGGGATGGATTCGCCCACCTGGATGAGGGAGAGGTGTGGGATCATCCCCAGGGAAATCCATTGGTGGAACAACCAGGCTTCCAGGTGGATGAGTTTTCCACCCTCTCATGGTTTTATTCCCGGGATTTTCCAGGTTCTACCTGCGCTGCATCATCTGGAACGCCAAGGACGTGATCCTGGATGACCTCAGCATCACCGGGGAGAAGATGAGCGACATCTACGTCAAAGGGTGAGTGTCCCGCTCCGGAGCCTCCGGAATTCCAGAGGCTGGAGGTGCAGGAGCAGCAAGGAAGGAGTTAAGGTGGTCCTTGGATTGGTATTGCTGGGATAGACTTGGATTCTGCCGGGATGGAAGAACCATCATGGCTCTCCAGTTATGGATCCGTGAATTTCCAGCTGTGGATTCACATCTCCAAGTACGGATCCACACCCCTCCAGTTGTGGATCCACCCCTTTCCAACTGTTGATCCATACCTCTCCAACTATGGATCCACACCTCTCAAATCATGGATCCACCTCTCCAGTCATGGATCCACACATCTCCAATCATGGATCCACACATCTCCAGACATGGATCCACACATCTCCAACTGTGGATCCACCTTTTTCCAGCCATGGATCCACACATCTCCAATCATGTATCCACCCCTTTCCAATCATGGATCCACCCCTTTCCAACCATGGATCCACACCTCTCTATCCCTGGATCCAGAGATGGAGATGTGTCTTTCTGGAAGCTCTGCTGAGCTCACAACCTTTTTCTTCGCTCCTCTGGGATGATCCCATGGCTGTATTTTTCTTTGGACTATTTGGATGTTCCCATAGTGGGATAAGATGTGGGAGCAGCCTGGCCATGGGAAGAGGAGCTCGTTGTCTGCTCATTCCCGGCTCCTCTCCCAGACTTTTTCCATTCTCGCAGATCGGGTTATTTGCATGGCTGCTTTCTTTGGAATTCCCCTTATTCCTGGAAACAGTTCCTCTGGCACCTTCCCTTCCCTTCCCTTCCCTTCCCTTCCCTTCCCTTCCCTTCCCTTCCCTTCCCTTCCCTTCCCTTCCCTTCCCTTCCCTTCCCTTCCCTTCCCTTCCCTTCCCTTCCCTTCCCTTCCCTTCCCTTCCCTTCCCTTCCCTTCCCTTCCCTTCCCTTCCCATCGCATTTTAGGATTTATCTTGTGTCTAGGAGTGCAATCCCAGCCAAGGAGTTCCTTTTTTTGTGCCTTTTTGGGATTTATGGGCAGGAAGAGGCGGGATTTGGGAGCAGACTGTAAATCCCTGGTTTACAATCCCGATTTTCCCCCTGTAAATCCAGAATGCCATGTGGTTTTCCTGGTATTCCCATCAAGTCCGTTGTTATCAGCTCTGGTTGAGCTGTTCCTTGTCATTTGGGGCTGCTAAAAAGTTGTGCTGCTGGAAAAATGGGAGCATCCAGGGGTTGCTCAGATCCCTTTCCCAATTTTTAGCATCCAAGAGGATCCTGCAAGGCTGGAAATGAGTACAGCCTTGCTCAGCTTCCACATCTTCCATCCCAAAGGAAAGTCATCCTGAAAAATCCTACTGGGAATGGGTGAAATGATCCTTTTTGTGCTGGAGGATCTGACTATGGATCGGGAATCCTGTGGGGACCGTTCCTTCAGTCCATTGGTGCCTCTGGAACAGGGGCTGGAACCTGCTATCCTAGACTGGATATTAGGGAAAAATTCTTCATGGAAAAGCTGTCAAGCAGTGGAAAGGGATTCCCAAGGAATGTTCAGGCAGGGAGAGCTGGGAATGTTCCCCTGGAGAAGGGAAAACTCCAGGGAATCCTCAGAGTGCCTGCAGGGGCTCCAGGAGAGCTGGAGAGGGGCTGGGGACAAGGCCTGCAGGGACAGGAGCCAGGGAATGGCTCCCACTGGGAAAGGGGAGATTGGGCTGGGATCTTGGCAAGGAATTCCTGGCTGGGCTGGAATTCCCAGATTTGCTGGGGCTGCCCCTGGATCCCTGGCAGTGCCCAAGGCCAGGTTGGATCCACCTGGGACAGTGGGAAGTGTCCCTGCCCATGGATGGGGTGGGAATGGGATGATCCTTCAAACCCATCCCAAACACTTCCATGATTCCATAATTTTGGAGTTCCTAACCCCAGCACTGATTCATCTCCCATCTCTGGGGACTGCTGCCTTCCCTCTCCCATTTCCAGTTTTTCCCCATCCCCGGCAGCCACCAGGATCGGGAATATTCCATTTCCCACTCACAGACATTGTGACATAGAGTGAGATCCCAAACCCTTGCCAGGATCCCGATTTTCCATGGGCTCTGTTTGTCCCTGGCAGGTGGCTGGTGGGACACGAGGAGAACAAGCAGAAGACGGATGTCCACTACAGATCCATGGGAGGAGAAGGGAATTTCAACTGGAGATTCATCTTTCCCTTCGATTATCTCCCGGCAGAGCAGATGTGCCACGTGGCCAAGAAGGTGAGTGGTCCTGGATGGAATTCCTGCACCCTCTTGGGAATTCTGGGACAGCAGCAGGAATTTCCCCATGGAAAGGGTGCTCAGGCCTTGGAAGGGCCCAGGGTAGGTTTGGAGTCCCCATCCCTGGAGGTGTCCAAGGAATTCCTGGATGTGGCACTCAGTGCCAAGGTGGGCATCGGGCACAGCCTGGACTGGATGATCCTGGAGGGATTTTCCAACCTCAGTGATCCCATGATCCCTGTTTTTGCTTAGCCTCAAAATTCATGGAATATGAGGTCCCCAAAGATTCCTGCTTGCAATGGGACCATCCCTGAAACCCCTGGGATCCCAGAAAATCCCCTGGGATCCACAAAACCCCTGGGATCCCTGAACCCATTGCGATCCCCAAAAATGCCCCCATGATCCCCAAAACCCACTAAGATCCGCATCCCATCCTATTTTCCACAAAACCGGCACCTCAGCCAGGAAGATGCTGAGCAAATTCCCCATCCCAGAAAATTCCCAGCTTCCAAAGCCAGTTCCAAGGATTGACAGAATCCCAGCCGGGGCCCATTTCACGCTTCATATCCCACAAATCCCAAGTACAGGGTGTACTACATCCAATTATCCCGCTTGGAAAAAGCCAAGACCGCCCTCCATAAACCCCTTTAAGCAAATCCATCCCGCTGTGCCGATCTGGAATCTTTTCCCACCACATGGCTTCCAACGCTGGATCCGAAAATAAACACCTTGTAAAAGCTCTCTGTAAAGGCCGGAATAATGAAGGGAAAGCCGGGTGGAGCATTCCGGCCCCGGGAATTTTTTGATCTTGCCATGTGCTGTTTGAACTCCGGCTTAGTTCCTGCGGCCGTAAAAATCCCGGCTGGAAAGGCAGGCGCTGGAAGGTGGAATTTCAATCAAAGGTTGGGAGCGGCTGTGGGGAATTGGGAGCTGCTCAAAACCACCTGTGCCCAACTGGGCTGGGAGGGAAAGAGTTTTCCAATTATTCTCCTTTGTTTGTTCCACGCCGGAGCTCCCAGGAGCGTGGCCAGGTGGATGAGGAATCATGGAATTATCAGGGAATAATTTGGGTGGGAAGGGAGCTGAAAGCTTAGGCAGTTCCATCCAGGGACAAATTCCACAATCCCAGGTGGATCCAAGCCCCAGTGTCCAGCCTGGCATTGGGCTCTGCCAGGGATCCAGGGGCAGCCCCAGCAAATCTGGGAATTGCAGCCCAGGCAGGAATTCCTTGCCAAGATCCCAGCCCAATCTCCCCTTTCCCAGTGGGAGCCATTCCCTGGCTCCTGTCCCTGCAGGCCTTGTCCCCAGCCCCTCTCCAGCTCTCCTGGAGCCCCTGCAGGCACTCTGAGGATTCCCTGGAATTTTCCCTTCCAATTCCAGCAATCCCAACTCTTCCAGCCTTTCCCACGGCAGAGCTGCTCCATCACTCTGATTATCCTGGTGCCTCCTCTGGATCGCTCCAAGAGCTCCGGGTCCTTCCCATGCTGGGAATGCCAGAGCTGGATTTCTTGTAGGTGGGGGCTCCATGGGTTGTCCCAACTCAGGTTGCAAATATTCTCTTCAAAAAAACCAAGGATGCCCCTGGATAAAAGGGTGGCCGTGACATTTTTGTTTGATGTGAACACCTGCGGTGTTTGGAAGCCTGGAAATCCAGGGAAAACCCAGGAAAACGCAGGTGCCACTCTTTTTCCTGCTTTTCTGAACCTTCCAACCACTCCAGGATGGTTTTCCATAACTTTCCTGGCTGGATTAATGTTATCAGGATTTTTCTTCTCCTTCTGAGAGGGGAATTTCTCCCAGTCTGAGTTTCTAAAATAGTTCCATGGAAGAGAAATATCCCCATCCTTAGGACAGCTCTTCGGAAAACATGGAAATGCTTTTTTAGTGCTTTTCTCAGCATTCCTTTGGAATTTCCATCTTTGTTCCCGCTTTTTTTGGTGCCATCTTTCTCTTCCATCCCTGGAAAACTCAAACCATGTTGGCTGCATGGGAAGAGCACATTCCCAGGTTTTTTAGTCCTGCAGGAAAACAGTTTCTGGGATGAAAAATGAGAAAATCATGGAATGATTTAGGATGGAAAAGCCTTCTAAGATCACCAGCTCTGCCAAAGCCAGCACTGACCACGTCCCCAGGTGCCAGAGGGATTTTGAATCATTCCAGGGATGGAGATTCCGTCGTTTCCCTGGGCAGCCTCTGCAGGGCTGGAAAACCCTTTCCGTGAAGGAATTTTCCCTAAAATCCAACCTAAACTGGAAATTTAAACTTTGGATTCCCAGTTAAGCCTCTTATGGGATGGGCCACGGGACAGCCAGGACAATCCGAGGTCACCTGGATGTGGATCCCATTTTCCCGGGCATCTGCTCAGGAAAGAGCTCGACTCCCACATCCCGCAGGTGCCACGGGGCGGAAAATACATGGAATTAGTTTGGGAATGTTCAGCTTCCTGTGCCAATTCCAGCAGCAGCTGGACGTGGTTGCCAGATCTGGATCCGGGAAGCTCTTCAGTAGTAGGAAAGGGTTTGCATGGAATGTCGGAGCAAATGGCATCTCCATGGATGTGCCAGGTCTGGTTCTGGGATTCTTATGGACACGGATGGGCTGGAGCGTGGCCAGGGAAGGGAACGGAGCTGGGAAATGGCTGGAGAATCCCTGAGGGAGCTGGGAAAAGGGCTCAGCCTGGAGAAAAGGAAGATCCGGGGGGCCCTTGTGGCTCTCCACAACTTCCTGGAATGTTGGAACCAGGTGGGAGTTGGGATCTGATCCCAGGGGATAACGGGATAAGAGGGAACGGCCTCAGGCTGTGCCAGGGGAGGCTCAGGTTGGGCACCAGCAGGAATTTCCCCATGGAAAGGGTGCTCAGGCCTTGGAAGGGCCCAGGGAGGTTTGGAGTCCCCATCCCTGGAGGTGTCCAAGGAATTCCTGGATGTGGCACTCAGTGCCAAGGTGGGCATCAGGCACAGCTTGGACTGGATGGTCCTGGAGGACTTTTCCAGCCTCAGGGATTCTGTGACATCCAAGGGGAGTCTCCTGCATGTCCGGGACTCCCAAATTCCTGCAGGATGTGCCTGAAACGGGACTTTTTGGTAGCAAACTTCCTCTCCTTCCCAAAACTCAGATTTCCTCCTTTGTATTCTGGAGCACATCCACAGGGCAGGAGAAATGCAGCCCCGTCAACGCTTTCCTGGGAATTGGAGCCGATTTTTTCCCTGCTGCTTTATCCACAAAAATCCATAAAATACCCCCGAGCCACCCCTCGCTTGGAAAACAAACCCCCAAACAATAATTCCAGCCTTTTTTTCCCCGCGGTTTGGACAAGGCCGGGATATAAATTTCGCACTCCGGGTTGTTTTTATAGGGAATGTTCGGAGCTAGATTTAATCATGGAAGTGAATTTCACGCTGCCTTGAAAGGGACCCATAAACTTCTCTCGGCATCAAATTCCCCCTTCCCAATTCCCTGTTCCTTTTCCTGCCTTTCCAGCAGAGCTCTGGGTGTCCCCAGCTGGACGGGGCTCGGAGCAGGGAGGTTTTGTCTCCAGCCAAGTGATATTTTATGGTGTTTTTCCACCAAAAAAAAAAAAAAAAAAAAAAAGGGAATTTGTAGAAATGGAGCATTGAATTCCCGCCTGGAAAGGGTCGAGCCCCACCTGAGTTATCCCTGGAATGCCGGGATGTTGTTCTGAGGGATTGGGATGCAGAGGGTGCAGAGCCAAGGTTTCGTTCCCTTTTCCCTTGGATATTGCAGTGGGAAGGAGGGAAGGTGGAATCCCAAAGTCTGCCGGGTTTGCCAGCAGTTCCATGGAATTGTGGAGTGGTTTGGAATGGGAAGGACCTTAAAGCCCGTCCAGGGACACCTCCCACTCTCCCAGGTGGATCCAAGCCCCAATGTCCAACCTGGCCTTGGGCACTGCCAGGGATGGGACAACCACAGCAAATCTGGGAATTCCATCCCAGAGAATTCCCCACCCTCACAGCCTGGAATTCCTTCCCAAGATCCCATCCAACCTTTCCTTCAGCTTCATTATCCCGAGGGCACGGATCCAGCTGGGGTAGGTGGGAGATGATCCCAAGTGCGAGGTTTTCCTCAAGTTTGGCTCTGTGTGGATGGGATGGGGCAATGAGAAATTCCAACGAATCCTTGGGAAGTTGCATCAGCCCAGAAGGGAGTGTGGGATGCACCTGGAGCATGGACACATCCATGGAATGCGGGAATGATGGGATGAACCTCTGAGCCAGGAATTCACTGGGAAGAAGAGGCACCTGGAGGACATGGAGCTTGTGGAAATTTCCTTTCCAGGGAATATTCCATCTGGGAAATGAGATGGTCTTGAAGGTCCCTTTCAGCGTGAACAGGTCCGGAATTCCATATTTAATTCCCCCTTTTCCAAGCCAAGCTTGGGAACCTGGATTTCTCCTGGAAGGGACAATCCAAAGGAGCTGGTGGTGTTCACTTTGGACATGGATCTTCTGCCACCTTGGAATTTTCCAGCCCCTCCTGAGGTCATCCCGGCTTTGTTATCCATGGATCCATGGCTCATGGATCCCTATGGATCCCTTCTTTCCCCATTTTCTGGGAAAAGGCAGAATCAACGTCAACTCTTCCCCTTTTTTTAGCAATTTTAATTCAAAACGGCAGGAAAAGCTGGGGAAAAATCCCCCTGGATGAACATCCATCCCAACCCACTGCAACCAGCAGAGGGGAGAGAGGGAATTTTCCATGGACTTCCTTTGGGATTTCTGGATTATTCAGTATCTCAAATGCATCCATAAAATGCTCCAATGCAAAATTCCTGGCACGTTTTCCCAAAACCGGGCAGGGAACGGAGCGAAATTGAAACAGAACCATCCAGGGGGATCTCTTAAAACGAATCCAGTGGGATTGGAGTGCCCACGGACTCCCAGCTGGAATATTTGTGTTCCTATGGAATGTGACACGTTTTTCCTCCTTTTTTATAATTTAATATTGGATGAAATAATGAATCCAAGTCCTGGGGTGAATTTATGGAGCGAGGGATGAATAACGCTGGAGTTTCCTGGTTTTAATTAAATCCCGTCATTTCTGACACTTCCAGGAGGAATTGCCACCAGAACACCCTTGGAGGGGTGTCAGGAATCCCGCTGGGATTTTCCTGCTCTTTGCTGGAGCCAGGAATAACAATCCCAACAATCCCTCAGCCTTGGGTGGGATTTTGTCTTTCTCCTTTATCCCAAAATTTCTTTTTGGACATCAAGAGGAATTTTTTAAGTGGAAAGGATGGTCAGGCTTAGGAAGTGCCCAGTGAGAGTTGGAGTCTTCATCCCTGGAGGTGTTCGAAGAATTCCTGGATGCTGAGGTGCGGATTTGGCACAGTTTGGACTCGTTGATCCCAAAAGGCTTTTCCAACCTCAGGGGGTCTGGGATTCTTAATCCTAACTCCTAGGCATCCCAACAGTGGTGTTAGATCCCTGTTGGAAAAAATTCCTGGTTTCACACATGGAAATGGTGACGTGGATGCCGCTTCCCAGGCAGTGGATATTCCTTTCTCTGGGGTGCAGAACTCATGGATAACTTGGGAATGTTCCCCTGGAGAAGGGAAAACTCCAGGGAATCCTCAGCGTGCCTGGAGGGGCTCCAGGAGAGCTGGAGAGGGGCTGGGGACAAGGCCTGCAGGGACAGGAGCCAGGGAATGGCTCCCACTGGGAAAGGGGAGATTGGGCTGGGATCTTGGCAAGGAATTCCTGCCTGGGCTGGAATTCCCAGATTTGCTGTGGCTGCCCCTGGATCCCTGGCAGTGTCCCAGGCCAGGCTGGACACTGGGGATTGGATCCACCTGGGATAATGGGAGGTGTCCCTGCCTATGGGATGGGCTGAGTTTTCAGCTCCCTTCCCACCCAAAGTGTTCCATGATTCCATGATTTTGTTCCCCACTGTGAGCAGTGCCAGAGGAGCCTGGAGCAGTCTGAGGGATGTTTTGGGGCTCGGAGCAACCACTTTGGTATCAGGAGATTCCTGGGATACAACAGAATCTTCCTTTCCCCACATCCATGCTCCATTAATAAATTCGGGAGCCGCCGGTGGCCTGAAGGTGGAACTGGCATTTGATGGCCTCTGATTGTCCCGCTGCCTGTGGCAGACCTGGGAGCAGATCGAAGCCGTGGTGGATCTGGGAGGGAAGGAATCCTTGGGAATTCCCTGCTGGAAGTGCTCATTTAGGTGTCAATCCCACATTTTCCCATGAATTAAGAGGAAGGTGAAGTTTGGCAGCGCCGACACTCAACGCTTGTTTGTTTCACCTTGGAGAGTCATCCTCACTGGAAATGTGGGAATTTCTGTCACTCCTAAGAATCCTGTTTGGGATCCCATGGAGACATGTCCTAAATTGCATTAAATTAAATTAAATTATTTAAATAAAATTAATTACATTAAATTAAATCATTAAATTAATGCATAAATTGTTGCTGAAACCTTCCAGAAGCATCTTGGGTTTTCCACTGATTATCCTTATCCAAGAGTTTTCCAGAGCCTGTGCTCCTGCAGATCCACAGCAGGACACCCCAGGAATTCCAGGATTTCCAGAGCCAGGCTCTGCCCACCTCTCCTGATTAATCTTTCATTTTCCCGTGGTTTCTTTCCTGGTGGGATTTTAGGAACACTTCTGGAGCTTGGACAAGACGGAAAACAAGATCCCACCCCAGCTGATCCTCCAGATCTGGGACAACGACAAGTTCTCCTTCGACGACTACTTGGGTAAGTTGGGAATTTCTGGGATCCATCCCAAAAAAAGGGGGAAACATCACCAGCACAGGTGGTGTGGACAAGCTGTGGCTGCTCCTGGATCCCTGGGAGTGTCCAAGGCCAGGCTGGATGGGGCTTGGAGCCACCTGGGGCAGTGGAAGTTGGGAGTTTGGATTGGGATGGCTGGGGTGGCCCAAACTCCCATGGGATCAAGGGAACATTCCATGTCTTAAGGCTTTTCCCACTGAGATGTCCCACCCGGAATGTTCTTCCCTGCAGGATCCATCCAGATGGATCTCAACAAGATGCCCAAGCCTGCCAAGACGGCGGAAAAGTGTTCCCTGGATCTTGTGGATGATTCCCTGTCCTCCGGCCGCTCCGTGTCCCTCTTCGAGCAGAAAACCGTCAAGGGCTGGTGGCCCTGCGTGGCCGAGCAGAGCCAGCAGAAGATCCTGGCGGTAAAGTGACCCTCTCCGTGTTTTTCCTTGGATCCTTCACTCCAATTCCCACTTCCCTGGAAGTGTCCAAGGCTTTAAATCCCTTCCCAATCCAAACCGTTCCAGAATTCCCTGAAATCTTCATTCAGTTCAAGCCAGGGCAAGAAATTCCCTTTCCAGCTGGAGATTTTGTGGATCCAGCCAGATCCACTGTGGTTGGCTGGAAGTTTTCCGGCACCGTGCAGAGGAATGATCGGTTTTGTGGGATTTTCACCCAGGGTTTTGGAACGTGCCACCAAATTTGATTCCCTATCACGACTATTCCCAACAATCTTGTGTCCTAAACACCTGGAAAAAATTCCAGCTGTCCCAGTGATAATTTCGAAGGTGTCTGGGCTCCTGTTCCAGGTTTTGGTGGCTGTTCCATGCAGGTGAGGGAATCCAGGCAGGGAATTTGGTGATTCAACCAAAAAACCCTGAACTGGTTCCAGGGAAATGGGGAATCAGGGAATTGGGAAAGACTGGATGTGGAACTCGGTGATGGTGGGTCACAGCTTGGACTTGATCCCAGAGGGTTTTCCAGCCTCAGCGATCCTGGGGTTCTGTGGTTGCCCAAATCTGGGTGTCCGTGGGATCCGGGATCTCCTGGAATATCTCCAGTGACAGGTGAGGGATCTTGGACTCCTGGGATCCTCGTGGTCATTGTTGGGAGTGGTTCGGTTCTGCTCACAGCATATTTTCTTCCCCTATTCCCTGTTTTCCATCCCACGTTCATTCCTCACCTTTCCCCCCTGTTTTTGGGGATAATAAGTGAGTTTTTGTTTGACCCATCCAGGGCAAACTGGAGATGACTTTGGAAATCGTGGCAGAACAGGAGCACGAGGAGCGTCCCGCCGGGATGGGACGGGATGAGCCCAACATGAACCCCAGGCTGGAGGATCCCAAGTAAGAACATCCCGAATGGAAAAGCAGCCACCGGGGCACGGAATTCTTGAGGACCAAATGGGAATTCTGTGTTTCCAGCTGCAGGGGACTGGGCTGAACTGGGTTTGCACCTGGGGGGGACTGGGACGGAGGGCTGGAGAACAAATTCTGTGGTGCTGGGAAGCTGATCTGGAGCACCAGTCCAGGGGGACTGGGAGGCTGGTCTGGGCCATGAATCCATTGGGATTTGGAAGCTGGTCTGGAGCACCAGGGAGGGCACTGGTGGGATGTATCCAGGAAGATGGAAGAGCTGAGACAGTCCGGGGTCATTTGAAGGTTAATCTGGAGCATGAATCCAGTGGGATTGGGAGTCTGGTCTGGACCACCAAGGAGCATGTTGGTGGGACATACTCAGAGGGATGGAAAGCTGACACATTCCAGTGGGATTGGGAAGCTGGCCTGGATCACCAATCCAGTGGGTTTGGGAAGCTGGCCTGGATCACCAATCCAGTGGGACTGGGAAGCTGGTCTGGATCACGAATCCAGTGGGACTGGGAAGCCGGTCTGGATCACGAATCCAGTGGGACTGGGAAGCTGGCCTGGATCACCAGTTCAGTGGGATTGGGAAGCTGGCCTGGATCACCAATCCAGTGGGACTTGGGAGACAGGTCTGGACCACCAAGAACATTCATGGGATGTGTCCAGAAAGATGATAGACCTGAGAGCAGTGGGATTCTGGACCATGAATCCATTTGGATTGGGAGGTTGGTCTGGATCACCAATCCAGCAGGATTTGGGAGTCTGGCCTGGACCACCAGGGTGGGCCTTGATGGGACGTCCCCGGAGGGATGAGGAGCTGCCACATTCCAGTGGGACTGGGAAACTGGATGGCCAAATCCAGTGGGATTTCGAGGCTGGTCTGGGACCTTCAAGGTGGGTGGGACCGGGGATCCAGGAGGACGAAATTCCAAGGCGACCTGCCCTTCCCTTGGCTCCAGGCGTCCCGAGACCTCCTTCCTGTGGTTCACGTCCCCGTACAAGACCCTGAAGTTCATCCTGTGGCGCCGCTACAAGTGGGTGCTGATCCTGGCCGTCCTCCTCTTCATCCTGCTGCTTTTCCTGGGAATCTTCGTCTACGCCTTCCCGGTACGGAGCGGCTGGGATTGGCGCCGAGGTCTGAGGGGTGGTGGATTCAGCGGGATGGAAAATTCCATGCTGGGGAACACAACGGGTTAAAAAAGGGCCATTTCTGGGGTTTGGGATTCTCGTGGGAAAAATATGGAGGGGTTGGAGAGTGGCCAGGGATGGGAATGGAGTTGGGAAGGGGCTGGAGCACCAGGAAAAGCGGAGGGAAAGGGGCACATCCCGGATAAAAGCCAGGATCAGTGGGGACCTTCTGGCTCTCCACAATTCCCCGGAAGTTTGGAGCCAGGTGGGATTTGGGATCTGCTCCCAGGGAACAACAGGACAAGAGGGAATGGCCTTAAGTTGTTCCAAGGGAATTTTATGTTGGATATTAAAGAAAATCCCTTGTGGAAAGCAGTGTCCAGCCCTGGAGCAGTGGTGGAGACCCCATCCATGGAATTATTCCAAAAACATCCGGATGTGGTGTTTGAGGACATGGATAATGATGAACAAGGGCTGGGGCTCTTTTCCAACCTCAACAATTCCATGATATCAGGAATGGTGGAGATCCCAAAAAAAAAAATGGGAAGGCCATTCCTGGCATGTCCTGAGCAGCACCAAGTGCTGGGACGGATCCCAGGATTTTCTGGGATGCAGGGGGAAAAAATCTGGGATAGCTTTGCCTCCCCCGGTTGCCTTTGGGATAATTCCATGGAGCTGCTGGCTGGATTTGTCCTTGGAATAAATGAGGATGGGGCAGGGCTGGGGGAGCCTCTCCCTGCTGGAAAACTTTGCATTCCAGAAAATTCCTGGCACAGCTTCGGGAATGCTCCAGGACCCCTTTCCCAAGGGGCAGAACGGGTGATGTCCCAAATTTTGTGGGATCGTGGAAAAAGGAGCTGTAGGGATACGGGGCCAAGGGTTGGGTGGTGAATCCATGAGATTTGTGGGAATCCCAGAGGATGGGAAGGAGCAGCGGGATGCAGAGGGGAGGAGGAGGCTCCAGCAAACCAAGGAAAACTGGGAATGCTTCCCACTGGTTGGACACTGGGATGGTGCTGGAGGGAGGGGCCAAATTTATTCCAAGGGTTTGAAGAGGTGGGAATTTCTCTTAAAAATTTTGGGAAGAGCAACTAAAATCCAGGAATGACGCCTGGTGCTTGTTAAATTCTTCCAATCATTCCCTTATTTTTCGGATAATTCCGTCATTTTTTCCAGTGGTTCCCTCATTTTTCCAGTGATTTCCTTATTTTTCCAATCACTCCCTTATTTTTCCAATCATTCCCTCATTTTCCCAAGGATTCCCTCATTTTTCCAAGGATTTCCTTATTTTTTCCAATGATTCCCTTATTTTTTCCAGTGATTCCCTCATTTTTCCAATCACTCCCTTATTTTTCCAATGATTCCCTCATTTTCCCAAGGATTCCCTCATTTTTCCAAGGATTCCCTTATTTTTTCCAGTGATTCCCTCATTTTTCCAACGATTCCCATGTTTTTCCATCCTTCCAGAACTACGCTGCTATGAAACTGGTGAAACCTTTCAACTGAAGCTGCTCCCGTGCCTGCCTGGGAATTTTGGGAAGGAATTTTGGAAGCGGAGAAGGAACAACCTCGTCCAGGCCTCCAGCTGCTGCCAAAGACTCTGCTTCCCTTTGGAATTCCACCTGGGAAGCGTCACCTCACCGAAGCCTCCACCAAAATATTCCTGGTTTTCCAGCCTCCTGTGTTTTGTTTGAGTTTTCCTGCTGCTCTGGTTGGTAAATCCCAAATTCCAGTGAAAATCTGAGGAGGGGGCAGGGAAAGGAACCTTTCCATCCAGAAGTTGGGAATGTGCAGAGGATTCTCAGGGCAAGATTTGGGATTTGCCGGCCTGAGCAAATCCCACGGATTCCGAGCACTTTTCCCTCTCTGATCCAGCCTCGGTTTCCCTTTTCCCTGTGTTATCCCATTTATGCATTGTAAACCTGTGGAAAATGTGTTGGAAAACCGGAATCCCTGGGATGACACGTCGCATTCCCAAAGCTGGAATCTTGGGAATGGGAAAGGCTGTGGTGCAAAACCTGGGATTTGGAGTTGGTGCTCCACAAAATCCCAGTTTCTCATGGATTTTGAGGCCTTTGCACTCCTTTCATGGAATTCTGGAGCTGGTTTTCCCTTGGAGCTGCTCCGCAATCCCACAGGTCTCCCATTCCACCTGGGGGAGGAATCCCGGGAACGGCTGGGCTTTGATTTCCTCCCCTCCCACTGTCTCCCAGCCACTTTTTTGGGAATTCTCGGTCTTTTTAGTATTTGCAGAATCCCAGAATCCCCGAGGTTGGAAAAGACCTTTGGGATCATCCAGTCCAAGCTGTGCCTGATCCCCACTGAGCGCCACCTCCGGGAATTCCTTGGACACCTCCAGGGATGGGGACTCCAAACCTCCCTGGGCACTTCCAAGGCCTGACCCCCCTTTCCATGAGGAAATTCCTGCTGATTCCTCCTGTCCATCTGGAGCCTCTCCTGGGACAACCCGAGGCCGTTCCCTCTTTTCCTGTTATTCCCTGGGATCAGATCCCAACTCCCACCTAACTCCAAATGTTCAGGGATTTGTGCAGAGCCAGAAGGTCCCTCCTGATCCTCCTTTTCTCCAGGCTGAGCCTCACTGATATTCCTTTAAAATCGGCCATTTTCCCTTGTTTTCCCAAAGATTCTTATGGAAAACATCCCAACCCATCCTCGCCGCTGCCCGGCATTAATGGAGCGAAAAACCTGTCCCGGGGTGGGATTTGCTTTCCAAACAAATCCGTGATCCACAACCTGCTTGGCCTCCCATGGATCCGACGGGAATGCTGGGACATTCCCGCTTTTGCCGTTCCCTCCTCCTGTCCCCGGAGCGGGATGATCCCATGGGATGTGGCACTTGGGGGTTTGTGACCTTGGCAGCGTCAGACTCGAGCCCAGAGGTCTGTCCCACCCTGGATGGTTCCATAATTCCATGATTCCCAGGGGTTTTCCAGTGCTGGAAGGATGTTAATCCTCAAATTCTCGTTCTCCAAGGAATCTTCTCCCGCTTTCCCACCAGGAAAATCCCATTAATATCTGGCTTCTCCGGCACCTTTGCTGATTCGGGATCTTCCCATCCTCCCTTCGGCAGGATGAGATCTATCCTTGATTCCATGTTTTCCTTGGAGCTGTGGCTGCTCCAAACGAGCGAGGAGCTGGGAAAAGTGATCCCGAGGGATCAGTTTCCCGGGAAAAAGCCGCTGATGGCAGCTCCTGCCCTGCTCTGGCCGGGATTTTAAACCTGTGCTTAAAAAAATAGGGAAAAATATTTTAGTTGCTTTGTTGGATGGGGATGTAATCCATGGGGGATCAAATCCCGGGATTCTCATTGGAACATCTCCCACATTGCACAGGGCAGCTCCTTCTCCATGTTTTCCGCACGGAAAACGCACGGCTTTGGGATTTATAGGAAAAAAAATCCCTAAAATTTATAGGAAAAAAATCAAGGGATTTATAGGGATTTATAACCCCATCCCTGCTGCTGAGCTTTGGCTGATCCGTGGCCCCTTCCCAAAAGTTGGAGCGGAGGAATTGGCTCCGGATTTGCACATCCCAGGGCGGAGGTTTCATTTTCCGTCGTTAAATGCTTCGTTTTCCTTTGGTTTTTTTTTCCCTAAAAGCCTCCCAACCCCATTCCCACCCCCATCCCTGTTTACAGCCACCATCAAACCACCCGGATTCACTCCAGTTTTCCAGAGGTTTTATTATCCCAAAGGATGTGAGGAGCTGAGGACAAAAGTTGCTTCTGTTTGGCCCCTGCTGGGATTGGGAATTTGGGTTTTATGGGAATGTTGGTCCCTGCTCCTTTCCCACCGGGATCCAGCTGTGCCAGAGGGAGTCTGGGATTCCCTGAGTGCTCTCCTGGAACCCACAGTGGGAATTCAGGTCCAACATCTCTTTGGATTTTTGAGGATTCTGAGGCTTCCCATCCTGGTGTAATTCCCTGTGATCCCAACCCAAAAAATCCTGGAGCCAAGAGCCCCAAATGGATGCGTGATCCATGTTGGAATGCCAAATGTGGGATGCTCATCCTCCATCCCATTGGGAACGCCGCTGTCTATCCCAGAAAGACAAGGAATCAAAATCCATCCGCGGGTTTCCTTTGGAACGTCCCAGGCCAGCTTGGATAAGGGGTTGTGGAATGCCTGGAATGGGCATGGGCTTGAAAGTTTGGGATTCACTCCAGAGACTCTTCCAGTGGGAAATCCTATTTTATTCCCAGCATTCCCCTGGCAAACCTGGATCAGCAGCGATAGGAGAGAAGGATCCAGGGCATCCAATTCCATAAAAACAGGGATTTCCAGAGGGAAATCCATGCTCCCAGTCCAGATTTCATGCCAAGAGGATCCCGTGGGATTCCGGTGGGTAAATTCAGGTGGAAACATCTGGAAAAACCAACTCCATCCCAGTTTTTTTCCCCTGAACAGCCACATCCAGCTCCGGGCCTGGTTGTGCCTCCTCCAGATCCAGGTGGGAGCTGTGGAAAGAATTCCCTGTGGCTTCCGGTTATCCAGGGAATTGGCTGGAATTTGTTCTGGATCACCCGTGCCTGCCTTATCTGCAATGATGCCCAAAGCACTGTGATTCCCAAAGAAATGCTCTGAAACATTCCCGTTCCCAGTGTTTTGATTGTGGGGATGGAATTGTGGCTCCTCTTGGGAGTGGGAATGGGAAAATTGGGATTGTGGAGAAAGGGAAAATTCCAGGGAATCCTCAGAGTGCCTGGAGGGGCTCCAGGAGAGCTGGAGAGGGGCTGGGGACAAGGCCTGCAGGGACAGGAGCCAGGGAATGGCTCCCACTGGGAAAGGGGAGATTGGGCTGGGATCTTGGCAAGGAATTCCTGGCTGGGCTGGAATTCCCAGATTTGCTGGGGCTGCCCCTGGATCCCTGGCAGTGCCCAAGGCCAGGCTGGATCCACCTGGGACAGTGGGAGGTGTCCCTGCCCATGGGTGGAATGGGAATGGGATGATCCTAAAATCCTTTCCATCCTAACCCATTCCATGATTCCAGGATTCCCTGCCCATGCGTGGGAGTTTATTGCCAAAAGTTCCGCTGTTCGAGCGCTTCCCTGATCCCAGATTTCCTTGGCCTGATGCCGGGAGTAATTCCAGCCTGGAATTCCAAAGTGTGGGGACACCTTTGGGACCATCTGGACACAACACCCCTGTTGTGTTCCCATTCCCTCCGGGAGCTGGAGGAGCTGGAAAACTTCCATCCCACAGAGGGGCTGAATTCCCTAAATCTCCAGCAGCCGTCCCAAAAAATCCCGGGAACGGGCTGGATGGATTTTGCTCCCCAATAAGAACAATTTTCCAGGCAGTGCCTGGTTTTATCCGCTCCGAAGGGAGCGTTTTCCACCCACAAATTTTCACCCAAAATCCCGGCGGATTTTGCCGGAGCGTTTGGAAAAGAGGGGGGCGGTGCAGGGAGAGCAGGATGAGAAGTGGGATCCGGGTCAAGGCGCTTCCATAAATTTTTTTTTGGGAGCTGTTGGCAGCTGGATTTGTTGGTTTAACCCCTGTGGACGGGGCCTGCCGTGGGTTCTGCTCATTCCTGGGAACAGGGATCCAACGGGAGCACTGATCCAATGGGATGCTCCCTAAAAAACACCGTTGTGTCCTCCTGACTCCCAAATCCGTGAGTTTTCCTATGGGAAGGTGGAGATTTCCCTGGATTTGAGTGACACGACTCGTTTCAGCCTTGCCTTGAGGCCTGACCCCTTCAGGCTTTCCCAGGATGGTGATTCCCGGTGCTGGAATTTCCCCCCGGAAGACGCAGTCATGGAAAAGGTGGTGATGAATTTAAAGGTGGGTTGACAACCAGAAATTCCTGAAATTGGCTTTTTCCATGGATAACCCTGTGTTGCGTGACAGCTGCAGTCGGGATTCATCCCAGAAAAGCCCAGAGCCTGGGATTGAGGGATGATTTGTGGGGATCTGCAGGAGACTCCCAAGAAATGAGCCGTGAAACTGCTCCGGGTTTGGCTCCATCCGGAATCCGCTTCCAGAGGGAAATGAGTTTGAATTTGTCCCATCTGCTTTTTCCATTCCCATCCCGGCCTTCCTAAAGAACCAATCCCTGAAATGTGCTGGGTATTTTTTATCCCATATTAAAAAAAAAAGAGAGGAAAAGGCTCGGGATGCATCCGGGGTTTTATTCCAGCTGCTGAAGTTGGATTGTGCTTGGATCTTCCCTCAAGGCTGGAACCTTTTCCATGATCCTTCATCTTCCCGAGCCTTCCCAGAATCGTGGAATGGTTCAGGGAGAGGACCCTAAAGCTCCTCCTATTCCATGGAATCCACGATCCCTCATCTTCAAGCCACTTCAGGCCATGGAATTCTGGATTTTGGGAAAGGTTTGGTGGGTATTTGGGATATTGGGTTGAATCATGGAAATCGTGGAATGGTTTGGGGTGGAATGGACCTTAGAGCCCATCCGGAACCTTCCCTTGGACACTTCCAGGGATGGGGAATCCAAACCTCCCTGGAAAACAGGATTTTGAAGTTTGGATTTGGATTGTTTTTTCCCAACTTTTAGGATTCCCTGAGTGCCCGTCTTTGGCATTTGGGATGATTCCAGGGAGACTCCCTGGCCCTTGGCTGCTCCATTCCTGTCAGCATTCCCTGTCCCGTGGGTTGAA